TATATATTTCTTATTAATCTTTTCTATAATTAATATAAGATAATTGAATTTTTTATAGAATTCTAATAGAGCTAAAATAAAGTTAATAATAATTATATAAAATAGGCCTAAAAGTTCTGAAATTAGTTATATTAATTTATAAGAAATATAATACTTGGTTTAAAGAATCTAATATTTAGAATAATATTTAATTTAATTTTTAAAATACTAAATAAGGCTTTAGATAAAGAAGCTTTTATTAATTATTTTAATTATTTTAGCTAGATCTAGATATAATATATTTTTATAAATTAAATTAAAAATATCTTTTATATAATTTAGAGAAATATATAAATAGTAAGGAATTTTATTCTAGATATATTAATTAAATAAATTATTATAGATCTCGAATAATAAAATAGTCTAGTTCTTTTTTAAGTATTATTTTCCTTAAGCTAGATCCGAATTCTATTCTAGTATTTATTAATCTCGTAATTATTAAGGAATTACTTTTTAAAAGCTAGCTAGATTTTAATAAAAGTAGCTATAAATATATAATTCTTATTAAAATTTATATAGAATTTTTCTTAAATAAATTTGTTTGGACTTATATTATTAATAAATAAAGCATTTAGTTTTCTGTTTTTTTTATTTACTAGTTTAATAAATTTATTTTTATTTTTAATAGTTATTAATTAGCTAAGAATATTAGATATAAAGTTTGCTTTATCTAGCTTATAATAAATATCTAGCTAGAACCAGGAAAGGTATTTAGCTATATAAACTAGATAAAGATTTAATTTCTTAGAAATACTAATTAATAAAAAGTAATTAATAATAATTATAACTAGAGTAATTTAATTCAATAATATAATATAGCTTTTTTATAACCTAAACTAAATTTACTATTTTAAGTTCTATTAGCTAATATCTGGTTTCTATATTCTTAAAAATTTTAAATAGAAATATAATTAGTTCTATTTTAGTTTCTAGTAAATAAAAAGTTTTCTTTATTATTTTATATAATAAATCTCTTTTAATATAGTAAATAATAGTACTTATTCTGGATTTATATAAACCAGAATAATATCTATTATTAGAGCTTTTTAGAAAGCTATAAAAGCTACTTTTTTATACTAATTAGATATATAAAAGCTTTTTATATTATAAAAGTCTTTTTCGAGTTTCTTTTTACTAAAGCTTATTTAAATAATTCGGTTTTCTTGTTTTATAATAGCTTAGAAATATATATATAAAAAGAAATCTTATTTCTGAATTATCTAGCTATTTCCAGATGAATTCCTAATTCCTTAGCTATTTTCAGAAAAGCTAATTTAGTAATAGCTTCTAATTTTTCTTTTATTATAGATATTTCAAAAAAATCTACTTTTTATATTTAAAACTATAGCTAAAAAATAATTAATAAAATATTTCTTTCCTTGAATAATAATATTATATTTTACTAATATTAAAAAAACTAATCTAAGATATTATAAGTATTTTTTATAAATATAATTAGTAATAATATTATTATTAATATATATTCTTGCGAATTCGAAATTCTTTAAAATAATATTTATTTAATACTAAATATATAAAAGAATATTTTAAAATTCTATTAAAATATAACAGAAAATATATTAGTTTTTATAAGAAACTATTATAAGATATTTCTGGCTTTTCGAATAAATATATTACTAGTAAAAAAAATTAGTAATATTTATTACTATAATAAATCTATAGCCTATAATTCCTTAAAATATTTTCTTTTATAAAGATATTAAATAAATATCCGGAATAATTATATTATTTAATTCTCGTATATTAATTATAACTCGATTTATTAGCTATTTCTATTTAGGTATATATTTATAAATAATAAATATTAGAAAAGCTATAAGAACTTACTATTTTATTTAGTATAATCTATTCTAAGCTTCTAGTTTTTTATATATTTTATTAATAATTTCTCGGTTGCGAATTCTGGTTTTATAGATTTTTATTTTACTAGAAATCCTATTTATCTAATTAGGATATAGATTAATCTTTATTTAATAATCTTCTAGTAAATTAATAAATCTAATATTATTAAAAAGGTTTTCCGGGAACTTGTTTAGAAAGTTAGAAAATATTCTAGTAGTTTTTATATTTCTATAAATTATAATACTAATATAATACTTTATTTTTATTTTAGAATTCCCGTAATATAATTAAAAGATCTTTATAGTAAAATTCTTTAGAAAACAAGTAGCTAAATTCGTAACTTTTATATTTAAAACCAGGAATTTATTATTATATTTAATATTTATAAGATTTCCTAAATAAAAATTATAAAATAAGAATACTAGCTTTATTAAATTATTTCTAGCTAGTACTATTTTTATATTACTATTTATTAATTAATTAAATAAAGTAACTAGTATTTTATTAGGTTTAAATAATAGATTTTAATTCTTAATAGCTACTAAATAATAAATAGGAATTATTATTAATATAAAAGTAGAAATTATAAGGCCTATTATTATATAAACTAGAGATTTCGAAATATCTCTCTTTTAAGAAATCTTAACTAGAATATTAGTATTATAATTTCTAATATATCTAGATTTCTTAGAAATTATAATATTAATATTTTCTGGAATTATAATATTTATACTAATAAGAAGTTTTATTACTAGATTATTAGTAAAAATATATTTCCTTTATAATTTTAGCTAAAATTCTTTTACTAGATTTAGTATTTATATCCGGGAAAACTATATTTAGTATTATATATTCTTATAATTAAACCTTGCCTCCTAATTTTTCTAATAAATAGCGGCTTTAATATAATTCGAAGCGGGATATTAGGTTAGTTAGTTATTAATTATTTCTAGTTAATTAGAATTATTAAATATCTTATATTTATATATATTTTATAAGAAATACTATTACTAGAAAACTTAAATATTATAGTTATAAAATACTAGTTTCTAAAACTAAATCCGGTTCTAATATCTAATTTCGAATCTATTATAGATTTAATAACCGGAATTATATTAAAGGCTAAACTAATTTCTGGCTTTTTTATTATAAATAACTTTATAGTAGTTTTTTTAATATTAGATTTAATTATTAGCTAGTTTTTATTTAATTTTAGAATTTCTAAAGATTTGTAATTATTTTTACAAATATATTTATATAATTAATTATTATTAGAAAAAGATTTTTTAATTTTGTTTAAGGCAAAATTTATAATAATAAAGTTTCTAGCTAGTTTATTATTAAAAATCTCCTTATTATAATTATATATATAATTATTTTTATAATCTTCTTTACTAAAATTCGCAGATAGCTTAACGGATTTCTTATAAAACGAGTAACTCTTTTCTAGTTTATGAAATTTCTTTTTACTAAGCTTTTTACTAAAATATATATATTATTAATAAGGAAAGTACTAATAATTTCTTATATTACAGGGCCTAAATTTATCTTAATTCCTTAATATAAATCCGTTTCTATTAGTAATTTATAACTATAAATAGGAAGCTAATAAAGCCTTTGGGGCTCTTTATTATAAATTAGAATTCTGATTTTAAAAATAATTAGTATAGCTTTATTAGAAACCTTAACTAGCTTAAAATTCTCTATAATTTTAATTATTAAAATTACCTTAGCTATAATAGCCTTAGTAATTCTAGAACTATTAAGAATATTAGAATAATTACTAGAAATTATTTTAGTATATAGTCTAAAAAAAACTAATTCTGAAAATACTAGAAACCTTGAAATTAATAAGAACTAAAATATAGAAAGTTATAGCTAGCAAATTAAAGTTATTTGCCTTTTCTATTAAATTATTAATTCGTAATATTTGCTTTCTTTATTATATTCTCAAAAAGAATTAATTTAATATTTATTTCTTCTAGCTATTTTTCTTTAGCTATTAATTCTATAGATACTAAAATATTTACTTAAATAGATAATTCTAGTATATTATAGGTAGCTATTAATTAAAAGAAATCTGATTTTATTCCGGTAGCCTTTATATATTAGAATATAATATATATAAAGCTATATATAAATTCTTTCTTCTAAAAATTAACTAGATTAAACTAAATCTTTCTTATATTTTTTATTATATTACTTATAGATTTCTTAAAGTATTTCGTAAATATATTATAGATCTTATTAACTAATATATTAGTTAAAAGATCTCTTTTTAAATTAGAAAGCTTATAGATATACTAGATAATTCCTTTTTTATAAAGCTATAAGATCTAGTTTTCTTAAACTACCTAATTTCCTTTCTTAGTTATAATTTCCCGAATTCTATTTATAAAAGTATAAATATTAGTATATACTATAAGCTTTCTAATACTAATAATTCCTGAACTATTAACCTTAATATCCTTTGGATCTGAATTAAAAACTCCGATATTCTCTAGCCGGATATAGGTATTTTGGTTCTAGTTCTACTAGGGTTCTTACTATAAAGTAATAGCGGCGGCATTATTTTATTAAAACTAGTAAATAATATTTGTAGCTATTAAAGTAATAGCTTACTAATTATTAGGATTTATCTATAGCAGAATTCCAGGAACAGGATTATTCGGATTCTGGTTACTTCTATTTCCTCTAGTACTATATCTACTTATGTTTTTAATTAGGTCCTCGTAAGGATTATTAATTAGTGGGCTTTCTTCTAGAGTTTCGGGGGTACTAGCCGGGGTAAATCCTAAAGGGGTTTTCTGATTTAATAGTCTATTAAACCCTGAATTACTAGAATCTAAAGATACAGGTTTGAGATTGAGAAGGTATTCGAATCTGTAAATAGTAGTTCTGAATATAGCTTTTATATAAATCCAGGCTTCTGGAAATTATATTACTAAATCCGGGATACTTTCCGATCTAGCCCGGGTTTGTAATTATATAGGAAAGGGATTTCTCTCGATTTCTCTACTAATTTATTTAATTGCCGCAAAGGTTCCTGGAGAGATATAGCTTGCAAAATCGTAGCCGGTTTTGCAGAAGGCCTTGAGTTAGGCTACGAGATTAGCGGCTCCTAATATACGGAAAGGTTCGCTAATTAGTAAGGAATACTAGAGGGTAATATAGGTACTTGCAGACTGGGAAACTAATTGGAGTCGATAGAATCCGAGGCTATAGGGATCCTATTTAATAGAGATACCCGTAGAATAATGAAAAACGAGGATTAGTAATAGTTAAATCGTATTAAGGTAAAGTATCTTTGGTTTGGTTTGGTAATGACTCACCGAAGCGATACCTCGGTCGCAGCGGAAGCGGAGGTCTGAATCGAATCTGGTTAAATTAAAGGATTCTGGCGTCCACGAATCGTGAACTGGTTGCCCGAAGGCTGGCTGCTTTCTTTTCGATGGAATCGAAGAAGAAAACTGGTTTATATAGGTATTGCTACCAGATTGCTGGGCATGCTGGAATCTTGAGTGTATTGTGAAGCTTGATGAATTCTGTCTAGCGAGAAGTTGCTATCTGAGTAAGGCTAAGCGAGATTCCCTCGTGATTACCTAGCAAGGAGAATCCTGAAGCTTCAACTTCGGACGGAGGTAAGAGAAATGCGGAGAAGTCGAAGGAGGTAAGAGGTGACGGCACATCTCCACAGTCACTTGGGACATCTGCAAATGGCTGTCGAAGAGGTTGGAAATGGCTTGAGGTCCCTGGATTGCCGTGAGGACCATACAATGGCAGTCGGGCGTCTGAGATACGCGGGAGTGAGTTGGAATTTTGGTCAACAATCGTACGTTGCTGACCAGTGGAGTGGTTAAACTGATAGGCAGCATGCACAGATACACCGGCAAGTGTTGCAAAGCCTGGCGAAACAAGTTGTTGTTGATTTTGATTCCACGCATCCTGCTCTGTCGCTTCGTGTTCGTCAACTTCAGGGCTGGGGTCCACCGTCTCCGTAGAGCTCGTGGCGTCATCTCCAAAGGCAACCCTCCTTCTCTTTCTTGGGCCACCCGAATACGAGACTGATGGATTCTGTTGGTCCCATCTTTCGTGCCCCGCTTCATGTCTAGAAAGTATGTCACGTCGCGAGAAGCCTTTCCCGCATATGCCGCACTGATGGTATTTAGCATAGTCATCTAACGATGATCAGCTTGTACTCATAAGTGAACAGATGCATGTTCGAAATTGGAAGTTCAAGGGCAGCTAGGTGAGAAGGGGCCTTGCGACTATTGGCATGACGAACCAGGTTCTCACGCCGAGTGAACGATCTAGAGCACCTATCACACCGAAAGTGTTTAGTGCCGGATTTCGCTGCCGATTTCTCCAGAGATTGCAGAGAGCCCAAGGCAGCTGGACTTCCCGCAGCGGACGTCGAGACGCCGCCAGTCAATGGAGTCGCCCCCAAAACTGGTTTCGTTCGCTGCGTTGATTCTCTTGTCTGTCGAGGCATTAGGATAAACAGAAGAGGTCTTGAGGCAGAGGTCTTTTAAGGGGCCTTGTCACGTATATCCAAGTAAGATTCATGCAAGGCCTCGAACGAGAATGGCCCGACGTTGGGGGAAAGATCCAGCAAAGGATTTTAGGAGGTTGAGGTGGCAAAGCTGGGGTCTCGGTTAAGGCCTGACTCGTCTCCGCTTTAGTGGAGAGGCCCCTAAAAGTCATCGGGTAGAGCTCTCCCGAGGGAATGTGGGGAAGATCCATGGGGCAGCCGTTCAGCCCACAGCGCAAAGAGAGGCCCCCTGAATAGGGGTTAGGCGTGTTGAAATTTGAAAAGAGCTTCGGTTCAATGTAAGCACCAAGTACCACTGAATGGAAAGACATCACGCAAGTATTAACTGCTCATACAATAACAAATTTATTTAGAAAGCGAGCATTGAATCCGCTGGGTATATGCTCAGGTCTATTTGACAAGTTGGGAGAACATCTAAACACGTTGCTTCAAGTCATACAACCCTAACCAGCCTCTGATTGACTCGATCTCTATTTGTCTTGCCGAAACTGGAAACCACCCTTATTAGTAAATGCTCGCTCTAGCACAGATTGTCAAAAAATAATCAAAGCTAATTGATTATAATTAACTGCGATTTGATTAGGAGGATTTTAACTTGATTTGATTTATAATTATTACGTAAAAAGAAGAAGATATAAATTTATTAGTATTTTTTAAAGATAATTAAATGACTAGTAACTTCTCTCTTATTCTTCTAATTATAAATTCTCTTATAGTCTTAGAGTATTCATTAGTAAGAGCGTTTTTATTTTTACGTTTTCAGTTATAATATTACGATTTATGGAGTAATATGGAACTGCTAGAAATAAAAGAGGTTTTGGCACTTTCGCCTCTGCTTGCTAGGGCGGTCTGGGATGAGACGCCGCGAGACTTGCTAAAAACACAATAATTTCGAACAAACGCATAGTGATTGATTTAAAACATACAGCCAGCAAGCAAAAGAGTTTCAGAACCAATCCATAACGCTCATAGAAAGGCGGATACCTTAACTTCTATGGTGAACAATGGGTTCAATACGCATTGTCCATGGCCTCATTACAAGCCTCATCTGCTTCCTGATTCTCCGCTCGGGGGATCCAGATGTATTCCACAGAACCCAGCTCTTTCACTCTATCATCGAGATCCGAGGCCTTCTCAATGAGATCTCGGTTTGCAACCTCATTCCCTGCAGCATTTCTCCAACCGTTACGGCACCACTTGTAGACCCAGTCAGTCATACATCCGATTACGTATCGCGAATCCGAGAAGATTTTGACCCTCAGGCGAGGATCGAAAGTGAGTTCGTCATATTTTTCAAGAACTTGTTCCAATGCGACAATTACGGCGGTGATTTCTGCCCTTTGGTTTGTTGGCGATGGCCAGTCGGGTAAGACTTTTGTCCAGGTAATGCCTCCTCCGTTTCTATCCTTGAATACCGCAGCGGCAGCACCAATGGAATCTGGCCGCCCATTGCCTCTACATCCACCGTCAATGTAGATCTCCATGATGTACACCATTTTGGTGTGAGCGGCTGAAACCGAGAGTTGTCCCGAAGCCTGACCAGCCGGTGAGTTGACTCTTCACTCCATCAAGCGCGAAGAACTTACAGGTATTCGCAAGTCTCTCAGCGAAATGAGCGAGTCAGAAGGATCGACTTCGCTGGAACGCGGTATAAGATTGGGTGTGGACACCGTTGTTGCCCCCTGACAGCTGGAAGTTGTGGAGGTGTGATCGGTTTGCAAAGTAGACAGCACCCGTACGAGGAGCAGGAAACGGAAAAACCGTTCGATTGTGCGAGACGCTTTTCCAGAAGTACAACTCGTGGGTGGATTTGCCACAATAGTTACTCAAGTCTTCGGAAAACCTCAATTCCAGGTCGTTCTCCGGACTTTGCCTGCAGCAACGGTCAGGTGGTTCGATATTCAGCTTCCCGAGTTTGTCGCTGTTACAGAGGCGAAAATGCCAGGGGCGTCAGGAAATCGAGGCGTATCGCCGAAGGTACCAGCGTACCATCGCCTTTTGGAGTTTGTATTTCAGGGCAGAGATATTGCAATGTTGTTGAAGTCTTAAAGTTTTGGAGGGTGCAAACGGACGGCGTAATTTTAACAGTGGCCAGGTCACGTGCGAGCCAAACCCTTTCTATGCACCTTCCCGCTCACATATTTTTTGATCATTGACTGGATCTATCCTTCCTAGATAAGAGAGACCCCTGTCCCTCTTTGTTGGACAACAGAATTAGAAACACTTGCCAAATAATAAATTCAAAAATGCTCTGAAGCCATTGCCCATCTGATCAATTACTCGCTCAGAATCTTCAACATCTTCGACGACTTCTGCATTCCCCTTTTCGTTGCTTGAAGTCGCTGGTTTTCTCAAACTATTCGATGAAGTGCTTGGAGTGCCTTTGTGGATTTTTATTGCCAGTTTCCCTCCTTGTCTTATCAAAACTTTGTTTTCTCTGGAGAAGACGTCATACTCCCCCGCAGATTCCGAGATTTGCCATCCAAGTGGCGGGGAAATCTCACATGTCGTCTCTTTTGGAACATCAAGAATAATCTCGCCAGTTCTTTGCGCTTCCTGGATATATAACGAAACAGCAATAATCCCAGCTGGAGTGGAGAGCTGAACATCAACAGACTCGAGACCCGCGAGAACAGGCTGAACCTTCCACTTCACCCACCCTGGCTCAAGTGGCTCGAGACCAGCCAAGTATTTGGGAAGTAGGAAGACTGGCCAGGTTGACCAACCATGGATGAGAGAGGTGTCGTCATGAACAGGGCTTCCATTCTCGTCCATGGCTTCCCAATGACCTCCTGAATAGTTCGGATTTGCCGGGTTGGACATGTCTCCCCACACCATCTCAATCAATTGTACTGCCTTCACGCCCTCGCTTCGAATGAAGAGTGCTTCGGCAGCAAAGCCGCAGGAATACGGACTTATGATCTTGTTGTTGTCCCATCTTTCCAAATTTTGAAAGGCGAAGGGAGGCTGGTCCGCAGACGCAAGAATTTTGGTTGTGTTCGAATGAGAAGGTGAGATGTCTAGAGTGGTGCTGTATGCGTTGATATCTTGGCATATTCCACTCGGCGATACAGTATCGGTCATGCGTAATATACCGGCTTCTTCGTTCCACAAGTGGGAAACGATGGACTTTCTCAGATCTTCAGCACGAGTAGCGAACGTATCATTGATTCCAATGGAAGCACTCATCTGGCTCATGGATTGTAAGGCATCGTAGAAGGCGAGGTTTATCTTTCCAGAAGCACCAAAATGCGGCCCACCAAGTGGGAGCCAGTCCACTGGGAAGTGTTAGTGAACGTCACCAGGAAAATTCCCACGAAAGAAATCACTTACTGGATAATGGTGGAGGAGCAACAATGAGACCCCTTTTGTCCTTGAATCTCTCAGCAAAAGTGATCAACTTTTCAAATCGACCCCAAATATTATTCACGGTAGTGGAGTCACCAGACTGCATCCAGTATTCTTTGGTGACCACCACCAATGCCAGCGCATAACTGAGGGAGTAGAATGCATAAGTTGGAGGCTCCATGTCAATTTCTTCATGAACAGGCGCTTGGATGGGGCATAAGCTGCCAATATACCCCCCAGAAGTCTGGTGACTTGACAGTAGAGTGATACTTCCAAGGATAGCATCAAGTCGTGCAGTCGAGTAGGCTATAGAGCGTCCCATTACAAAAAGGTCTCCCGAGAAACATGCTCGATCTCTTTTGGCCCCGTCTATCGTACAAACCAGCGGATTTGTGCCCACTGAAAAATCAGCAAATGTTCGCTCCTTGTCTGCCACTAGAAAGCTGTTTTTGTAAAGGATGTTGTCTTCTGTATCTTTCACAAGCAGTGATCGATATGCGGCAGTGTAGTGTGCTGGCCCACCAAATGCAATTGAGCCACTGTTGTTGTTTCCTCCAAGAATCGGATGCAACTTTAGCCCAGTCACACTCGCTACTTTCTGGCCTTCGATTTCGACATCGACAGAATCTCCAAGAGCAATAATCTTCACCTTCAACCAATCATTAAGATCAAGCTGCGGCAAAGTCCAACTCCCCCGAGGTATCGGAGGGAATATCCCATCAGTATTGGAAAGTCCTTCCACAGCAGCCAAAGACCGCGTCGCCACATCCAGACAGAAAATGAGGCCATTCGCAACCATGTGAACACCCCAACTCGCCCCACCAGACTCGATCTTCACTTCAAATTCAACCACTTTATCTTCCCAACGTGTTCCAAAACGGCAAGGAGCCCAATGTTGGCCATTTATCCTCGTTCCCTCCTCGGTAATATCCCATGCTTCAGCGGTCTCTCCGGCGTCCACGGTACACATATCAACTGTTCGAGCTCCGTCATCCCAAATCCTATTGAGCAGCTCGTTTGAGCACTTGAAGGTGCTTTTGGGGACGGCTGCCGGCCTTTGATGTCGGAAACCGATGGAGGAAAATATGATCGAGGAGTTTGGCGATTTAAGGACGAGTTTCTGGAATCTTTGAGATTTTTGAGCGAATCTTGTTTCCACATACGCAGTCTCTTGGGAAGGCGTGAATGAATGTGTGTTGACTCTGTATGTGTCCATTGCGTTGGAAAATAACAGGAATGGTCCATCGCCTGCTGGGAGTTAGCAAGGAACTCGGTTTCGAAAGTAGTTGGTATACCTTTTTCCTTGTCAACTCCTGCTCTTGTCTCACTGTATATTATTTCCAAGGTTGCTACACCTTCACTTCCCACATTCGCAGTCTCGAAGAATGGAATTCCTCCCACGGCTCGTCCATAATCGAGGATAATCTCTGAGACCCCACCATGGGAGGTGGAGAGTTGAATGGTTGAAGGTAGTGGTCCTTCTGTTCCTGACTTAGTCAAAACCTTGACCGGGAAGCTCGACGTTGAAATTTTCGATGACATTGTTTGGGAGACTTCTTGGGAGACTTCTGGCAAAGGATTGAAACGATGAAACACGGAAACAGAATACTGCCTCAAATGGTGTGGTGCCGTGAGCTTGTGATCTTCAAGCTCTCAAGTCAGAATTGAAGAGGGAAGAGTTTCCCAATTGAAAATATCGGGGCTCCAATAGCTCGGTTGCAGCTTCACCATATCTCCCCTAGGTCATTCTAGCTCTGATGGGCGTGGATGGAGGTGGAGCTCCGGGGTCAACTGTCATCTGCCAACGGCATATCGTCGATAAATCGAGGTGGGGGTTGAGCTAGCGTCCAATGTCCACATCTCGAATTCAATTTAGAGCAGAGCAGCGAGTCATGCATATCCTCCTCAGATGTCCACACAAGACCAGTTCTAGAAGTGGCAAATTGGTAGGGCAACTTTGGTCCCGCGTCCACATATCGCTGGCTGGATATGTGGATAATCTCGGAGCCAAATTTATGACCGCATGCCTTGCCGGTTTTTAGAAACTCCCGGCCCGCCGTCCACTTTCAGGAACTGCAGGTAACTGCAGTGTCTAAATTGAGAAAGGCCCAGGGTTGCTCTTGGGACAGACAAGCTTGATGCTTGTGGTCCCCTTTTCACATACTATACTACTAGTATTTCATGTCTATGTAGGTTCTCAATTCGTGATAGGTAACCCGGCCTAGGTGGAGCGTCTTGAATTCATGGCGAGAGAACGGTTCAGGAAGTTTGAGATGCTAGAGAATTGCAAATCCAATTCGTCTACATGATTTTAAAGTCTTCAAAAGTGACCTCAGTTCCAGCCTCCTCACTTTTGGTGGAAGCAAAGACACCGAACATCGTTCCCGTGAAATCATACCCGGAAAACTCAATCGCTCCCATTGACCCAAACTTCGTCCATGTACCATCGCTTCCCATTTTGTACGATAACTCATATACTTTAGGCGTACACTTGATCTGGAAGTGTATCATGTCCGTCAGCTGGAGCGGCTGAGACTTCGTCTCAGGCTCATCACTCAACATTTTGTTTGTTTTGCTGAAGCAGATTGAAGACGTGTGGTAATCGTAGTAGATTTCCGCGTGGCGGATGGATTCTTTCCATACCGTCAAGCCGGCAAAGATGGCATTGTCTTTTTGAGATTGCACAAGAACAGGTTGGAGGGTCGTAGTTGCGATGCTAGCTTGCAGGCGCTGCCTCTTGCCGACGAAAGTGGTTGTTCCTGTGGGAGAAGAAAGCGTGGTTGTTCTTGGAATGAGCTTTATGACCCGGTTGTTGAAAGGAAAACTGAAGTCATCTAGATTCGGGGTACGAATGTAGACATATTCATATCTTCGACTCTCATCTGGAAGTGGGATTTCCTTCGACCTCATGTTGGATATTCGAGTTCGTTCAAACTCCAATTTTGGGAACTCAATTTGTGGCCAACCTCCAGTTGGCCATTCCACTGGGGCAAGAAATGTTTCTCGTCCCATCGGATAGCAACCATCCATATTCCGAATACCCAAGGCGGTGATCCACCATTTGCCATCTCCGTCCTGGAAGAGATCGCCATGTCCTGTATTCTGGATCATATCGCCCTTTCCATAAGCTGTGAGCACCGGATTGTTCTCGTATGACTCATAAGGGCCCCATATGTTGCGCGAACGCGCCATAGCAATCAAGTGGTGCTCGAAAGTCGCAGCCTCAGCAGTAAGAAGATAGTACCATCCATCCTTCTTATAGATATGTGGGCCCTCAGCATCATCTTTTCCCGCAAAGCCATCCCAAATTTTCGTCGTCTCGGAAAGAGCTTTCCCCGTCTCGATCTCGACCTCAAATTGTCTGATATCGCACTTCAGCTCCATGAGATTTGACGGTCTATAAGAGCCTTGGATATACACTCTCCCGTCGTCGTCGAAAAACAAGCTGGGGTCAATCCCACTGAAGTCGAACCAGATCGGGTCACTCCATTCTCCAGACCAGATGTCCTTTGTGGTGACATAGAAGTTCCGCATTATCAGGTTCGGCCCCTCGCCCCAATCATTTGTGCAGATGACATAGAAAGTCCCATGGTGTTGGCGGATCGTTGCTGCGAATAGTCCACCGGTTGCGATGAGTATCTTCTCTGCACCGATTGGGAACTTTTCTGAAGTAGCTTTTGTTAAGTCGAGTTAACTTGGTCTGTGAATTGCATTCCCTGGTACCAATTAGTGCGGGATTCTCAGAAAATGAGAGGCGACGAACCGATTTGTGTCCAGGAATTCAGATCGTTGGAGGCATATATGGGGATGCCGGGGAAGATGTGAAATGAAGAATTAACAAGGAAGAAAGTCCCGTCATAGAAAGTTACTGAAGGATCTGGTGAAAAGCCAGATATGATGGGATTTGTATATTTTGCAGACATCTTCGCGGCCAGCTGAGTTGGTCTCTCAGCCGATGCTGCAACTCGACGAATATTATGGAGGACTTGACAAGTTGAGGAACGTAACCTAAGAAGCAACTTATTCGTGCGTCAATGGTAGAGGCCAGAAGAACAAGATCTTTTGATCAAAATAAAAACCAATCATGAGCTCCCGGATTCGAGTCAAGAGGAGACGCGACCAACCCCACAACTCCACTTGGAGAACGCGCCTGGCTACTCTGGTAGAAGGAAACGGTATCTGGCAGGCCAGCGGCTCGCTCGAAATTGTCCCGAGAAGGCTAGAGTCGCCGGGCCCATTTTGTTGAGCTGTTCCAGAGATTTCACAAAGCACGACGTCGGGATGAAGTCGAGACCTTGGCGCAAAATCGCTAAGTGGATAATGTCCACTTACTTCCACATGGGATATCTCATTTGTCACCGCCGTCCACATAATCCGCTTACAGCCTGAAAAACAAAGCCAAACCAAGCCACTATTTTCAACCTCCTTTCCATGCACGACCGTGATCCACCCAAGATGCCAAACCATCCACGACTCACCCACACCATCCCCGCAATTGCTCTACCCCAGGCTCCATATTCCTCCGCCTCTAGTCCAGGCAAGCTGGGACTGCCATATGATCTGAATATGGGAATACTTAAGAGCCTTCTACGTCCCAAGATGAACGGATCAAGTTGATCGTCCGACTCCTCTGTTCAAGGACATCTCATTTTCCCGTTCAACATTTGATTACCCATCTCAAATATCAGAATGGCGGATCTAGTTCAAGAATCGAAGGAAGTAAAAGCTGTTCACCTCGAGAGTGTGGCCCCTCACGACAATGGCCGATATTCGAGCGAGGTGGATGCTCAACGCGGGGCCGCGATCCTGGAGGAAGAGGACCAGATGCCACTGTGGTACAATGCAAAGCTGCACTGGAAAGCACTTCTGATCTGTTCGTCCCCTCCTCTTGCCCCAAACCCTCAACACATCACTGACTAAAGTTTCTAGGCAGCGTCTCATTTACAGCCGGCATGGCATTCGGATACGACACCGTTGTTAACGGAGCCTCAATCTCCATGCCCGCTTTCTTCCTCTACTTCGGCGACTTTGGTCCCACTGGCCCTTATCTCCCCTCAATCTGGACCTCCCTTTGGACCGCCATGTCAGCACTTTGCCAGGCCATAGGTGCCTACTTCGCTGGGTTCTTCTTGGATCGGGTCGGGAGGAAGTGGCCTGCGGTTGGCGCTGGTTTGATCACAGTTGTTGGGACAGCTGTGCAGTACACCAGTCATAGCAGAGGTTCCTTAATGGCTGGTAAGATGGTCACTGGACTTGGGATCGGCGTTGCAATGGCTACTGGGACGAGTTATGCTTCCGAGGCAAGCTCCCCTCCCCTCTTTTTCATATCCAAAACTATTTACTGACGGCAGAAGGTCGCGCCCATCAAACTCAGAGCCCCAGTCCAGTCCGCGCTCGTCCTCTTCACAGTCTTCATGCAAGGCGTAGCCCTGGGCATCATCCGCTCCTTCGTGCCCAACACCGCAGAGCAAGCATTCCGCGACGTCTTCGCCATCCAATGGGCCGTCGGCTTCCTGTTGATCCTCGCCTTCGCCTTCACTCCAGAGTCTCCTGTGTACCTCATCAACAAGCACCAGCTCGAGAAAGCGCACAGGGTGATGACGCTCATCTACGGCAAGGAAAACGACCCGGATGCGCGCCTCGCCTACCTCATCAGGATTATCCGGGAAGAAAATCACTCCGAGCATGACCGCGGGACGTACTTTGATTGTTTCAAGGGGACGGATTTGAAGCGTACACTCACTGTTATGCTCATCTACACGGCTGCCAACTTCGCCGGCGCTGCTTTCCTGTCACAGTCGATTTACTTTTTGATCACCGCTGGTCTTCCAGCCATCCACAGCTTCGATGTCTCGATCGGTGGCTTCGGATTAGCGTGTATCATTATCGTAGCCAGTTGGTTCGTAGGTGATTACATCCATCGCCGAACCGGATTCCTAGCCGGACTCGCTATCAACTTGGTCTGTATGTTGATTGTTGGATGTCTCTACTACAGCAAAGCAAAGGGAGCATTATGGGCTATCGCTGTCGTAATGTAAGTTCCGTTCCCTCCCCCCATTCCCAACTCTCTTTTGGTGTAACTGACAATGCGCAGGAACCTGGACATCAGTCTACAAACCTCTCTAATCCAAGGGATGGGCTGGCCCATCGCCGCCGAGCTCTCCTCCTACCGCCTGCGCGCAAAAACCATCTCCATCGGCGTCATCTGCCAGACGCTCTCGACCTGGGTGACCCTCTTCACCGTCCCGTACATGTACAACGTCGACTCGGGGAATCTCGGCGCGCGGACCGGGTTCGTGTTCATGGGGACGACGGTGCTGCTTCTTGTTGCGGGATACCTCATGGTTCCAGATACGACAGGCTTGACTGCTGAGCAGATTGATCATGCTTACGATCAGCGGGTGAGCCCGAGGAAGTTTAGGGGGTTTTTGGGGAGTGGGGGGTTTGTGGTCGAGGAGAAGGGTCTGGATGCTTGAGGGAGGGGAACTTTCTTGGAGAGTAGGTTTTCTATACTGAGAAACTGAATGCATATTGTTCAGGGACGATGCTTCTCAGCCAAGAAAGGTGACCAATTCCTGAATCACATGACCATTATTAGCCAATTAAGGTAACTACCCTACGATTTGCAACTTACTGTGGACGGCAAGACATGCATGCTACTTTATTCCCTCCGCGTGATTGCCACCGTTTCAAAGCATGGAATCAAGTAGAGTACTCCATTGACGAGCACCCCCTTGCAATATAATTTCCTTCCAACACATCTGCGAAACCCGAGTTTGCCATGTACATATTCCATTTTCTCACGAGCGTGACAAGCAAGCCAGCCTCTCCAGCTCGGCGCTCAGCCACCCACCAGCAGTGTCCCCCATGTTCATTGAATAGAAAGACCGGGATGTTTGTTGTTTGTCACATCGCTCCACCTCCACCTCTGCCTTTCAATATCCCAACGGTTTTCTTCTCAGTACAATAAGACCATTATTCCCTGCAAATCCAGGGTGGATTATCTATCCATTGATGAAAGGAGTTTTGTTGCATATCACATCGCATCGATTTCGATATCCAAAAGGTACTTTTAGAGAATGAGATATATATTCCTCCGGTTATAAATAAGAAATCCGGCAAAGGGTGGAGGGCGGAGAGTGGAGGAGGAAGGGAATCAATCGATCACAACGAACGAACGAACGAATTGTCAAGGGTAAGAATAAAACAAAAAGCAAAATATGCGATATGCAATAAACCGTTCTTCGCCCGCGAGAGAGCCAATGGTGTAATGGATAGATGTAAGGGAAGGGTGCTGGGAGCGGGGTAGGTGTTGATGAAGAGGTGATGTCACCACATTAGGGTCCTGAGCCATATGTGCGAAGTCTTATTGCAATCTTGTCTGAAGCTACAATGTATATATACAATAATCTCTGTGGAGATAGGAAGTCTAATGGGCAGCTACACCGTTCGTTCCATTCGCGTGTTCATTTACCCCATCCACCTTACCATGACACCCACCCACCGGCGCTCCATTACCCTCACACCGACTAACCCGCGTGCTCTTCATGCCATTCGCCGGCGCTTTCCCTCCCTTCGCCATCCCATTATGTGTACCATTGAAGCTCAAATTCGCAATCCCATCGTACCCCTTAACGCCCGTCGCTTTCTCAAGCCTGGAAGCAAGGTCCCCCGAAACCTCTCTGAAGATAGCGATCTGCCGCCTGATGATCTCCTTGTCCTTGCAGTTCGCCATGTGTCCGGACACATTGCCGACGAAGCGTTCCTTGGCCTTCGCGTCAAACACCTTCTCCCACAGCGCGCGCGGGGCGGCGAAGTCCTCCTCGCGGATCTCGGAGAGGAAGGTGACGGCGTCGCCGGCGAAGTTTCCGTGCACTTGGTCGAGGTTCACCGTCCGCTCGCGGAAACGGATGGGCTCGATGGAACTGATGTAGTTCGGCCGCGATCCCTGGTTGCAGAACGCCATGCTGCCGTCTCTCTGGAAATTCGCCATCCGGTAGTTGATGCGCGGGGCGTTGACGGGTAGTTGCTGGTAATTGACGCCGACTCGGTGGCGATGAGCATCTGGGTAGCTGAACAGTCGCGACTGGAGGACAGGATCAGCGGATGGCTCGATGCCGGGAACCATGTGCGCGGGGTTGAAGGCCACTTGTTCGATTTCCGCGAAGTAGTTTTTGGCATTCTCGTTCAGTGTGAGCTCGCCGACTTTGCGGAGCGGGAACTGTTTGTGCGGCCACACGTGCGTGAGGTCGAAGACGTTGATCTTCTGCTTTTCCCAGAGATCTTCGGCTTCCCTGGCGCTCATGGTCTGCACCTCCAGGCTCCATTGGGGGAGGTCGCCAGACTCGATGGCGTTGTATAAGTCTTTCTGGGCATAGTCCGGAGACTTGGTGGTGCTCTCTTCTTGCGTGAGGAACTTCGTGCCTTGCTGCGAGATCATGTGGAATTGACAGTATACCCATTCGCCCTTCTTGTTGACCAGCTTGACCGTGTGCCCGAGGTAGCCGTGCATGAAGCGGAAGCCGTCGGGGATTCCGCGGTCGCCCATGAGGATCATGACTTGGTGGACGGACTCGGGGTTTTGGGAGAGGTAGTCCCAGAATGCTGTCGAGTCGTCTGCGTGTGTGAGGTGAGTGGATGGATCTCGTTTCTGGGTGTGAATGAAGTGTGGGAATTTGGCGGGGTCGCGCAAGAAGAAGACGGGTGTGTTGTTTGCTACTAGATCCCAATTTCCTTCGTCCGTCTTGAATTTGACTGAGAAACCTCTGGGGTCGCGGGCGCAGTCATGGGAGCCAGATTCTCCACCAACGGTCGAGAAGCGCACGGTGATCGGGCACTCCTTTCCTTCTTCGAACATGTCGGCGAGACAGAGATCGGAGAGCGAGTGGGTAGTCTTGTAGACCCCGTGGGCTCCGGAGCCCTTGGCGTGAACGACCCGTTCTGGGATCCGCTCACGGTCGAAATGTGAGAGGAGGTCGATTAGATGGAAGTCTTGGAGGAGGAGAGGGCCGTTTTCACCCATGCGTTGGGTTTCGTAGGGATGGGGCATGGGGACCTTGGAAAGATGTTAGCATTGATTTCTGGCACGAAGGAAAATTAGGAGAATAACATATTCCATTGGCAGTTGTGTAAATAGTGTCCTGAGACTGTGCAGCCCTGTCATCTTGATAGTCGCGATATTGATCGCCCGAAGTATGTGCAGAAGACATCTTTTGTTATGTGAAGAATTATAATTGAGCAGTTCTATATAGATTCGAATGATTTTGGACAGAGAGAGATTTGATAAAGAGTGCTAACATATCTTATTTATGAAGAGCACTTGCCCTACAATAAAGCCATCTTGTCATGATCTCATGGAAGAGACGTCCACCCCACTTGATTCGACAACCCAGCAAGGAGCCTTTGGTCCAAAGGCATTTGACGTCTAGTTCCTTGAAATAGCGTCAAATCATTGACTTCGAGAGCCAACAGTATCGAATCAGCTATCGCTGATTTGGTATTATAAGAGCAGGATTCCCATCTCTGAATATTCCAGATATCATCCTGGCAAGGAAGGAAAATGGCCGATCCAGCTGTCGAATGGTCGCCTGGGCATCAGACTCCCCACCCTCGTACTTTGGGAAGACCTTTGAGGCTCCATCGGCAGTAGTGGTGGTGAGCAAGATCGTCTATACCTCCTTGAGATGGGTGGCAAGGAAGGTGGACGCGGGACGAGCCTCTCGCCTTCTCCATCTGTATCCCGATTCCTACATTCCTCTTCATAAACTATACCTGTCGTAAAGAAGAATACTCTCATGTCCAAATCCAGTTCGGGAACAACTTCAGTGAGGAGCCGAGATTTGGGGTTGAGTAGCCACATTTGTCTGTGAAGCGAAGTCTCAAAAGAGGATCTAAATGGACGACGTCAAGATGAGGGCAGCGCTTTGACCACTTTCCCTTGACGAATATCACGTGAGCCAGTCGTCGTTGAGGACGAGAGCGGCTGAGCTCAAGTGGCAAGGTGTTAAAAGCTTGGGTCGGAGTTGAAATTTAGTCTAGGATGAACTTGCCTTATCTCTTGTTGATTGAAGTCTCAGACAAGGTATGCTAAGTCACGTGTGTACCCCTTTCCTCCGATATTAGGGAGGCGAAGACTTCCCGAGACCTGTCAACAAACCAGAGACAAACACTATGGTATTCATGTCTGAGCGTCAAGCCCAGTTTGGCTTATTCCTATCTCGCTATATCGACACTCAACTGCAACTACATACAGGAAAACTACTAGGCATAAAGCATAATCCATCACGATCATAATCGTACATCCATCCCCCGATCCTCGCAAGCGCGTATGAACAACCCATTTCGAAAGCCCTAACCTCAGATCTAATGATCTGTTCCCAAATCCGTCCATCCGATGCAAAGTCATTTAGCCTTGCCAATCCAAACACCTTCATCCATCCCCACCATCCCGTCATCATCACTAACAGACGCCACCGTCTCCGGGATCCAGATGGCATTATCCGCCCACACTGCCTGCCGCTCCTCAGCCGCATCGTCGGCAACCTTATACGTCCCGTCCTCTCCAATCTCTCCCACAATACTGCCGCGCCATTGCTGTTGCGCGGGCGGCATCAAATTGTTCCCAGTCGTCTGTCCCAAACCCATGAAGTCCACAGGAGGATGAGTAGGGAGCATCGGATTGCCAGACAAGGATAAAGGTGGGGTTAAGGTTTGCGTCAAGCGCTGAAACTGCGGCTTCTCCGCCGCCTTCGCGAGCAAAAGATTCGCATACTGCCTCTGCGAATTTGGCGTCTGGCTCAACGTCTTCACAAACACCTCGAACGGATCTTGCGCCACGCCATAAGTTTCATTCGGCAGGCTAGTCCCGCACGCTTGCATCACGTCTAACATTGTGTTCCCGATCTCGAAGATCTTTTCGAATATGCCCATGCCGTGGACTTCGATCGAGGTGGTGGGGAGTGAGGAGATGACGTTGAGCAGGGAGTGCGCGATCTTTAGCGGGTAGCGGAAGGTCATGCTTTCGTCTTCGGCGGTGGAGGAAAGGAGGCCCTGGCGCATGGAGGATTGCCAGACGATGAGGCGGAGCCATTGTTGCGTGATGAGGATGTCGGCCTTTTGGATGTCGGTGATGGAGACGTCGGAGAGCGGCGGGCGGTTGAGTTGTCGTTGGAGGGTGGTGTATGTGAGTGTTGAGGCAGGAGCACCGCTGGATTCGTTCCAAGAGTCGACAAAGGAGGAGTCGAGGAGGTGGTAGGAGTTTACGAGACGCATGAAGCCGTCGTGGATTTCGGGGAGTTCATAGTCGTGCAAGGTGGTGGGGAATTCGGGCGTTTTGGAGAGGGTGAGGGGTTTATGGCGGAGGATGGCGTAGGATCTATGGATATTAACAAATTGAAGGGAGTTGGATCGAGGAGATTTTATACCTTTCGGTAACGTAGAGAATCCAAAACGTTCGACGGCGGCACAGAGCTTCTGCAGGTGCCAGACCGACATATGAATTTTCGTTGTGGAGCATAAGATCTTGGCCTAATGTCAAGGCTTCCCGCAAATAATACCAGGACTTTCGATTTTGGTTCAGCTCGAAGAATGCTGTGTGTATGAAATATGAAGAGATGACTGCGGATAGCGACTTGTCCTCAACGAAATCGTAACATTGTCGAACTGAGATACACTCGTCCAGGAAGAAACGCCCGGCAGCTTCCCATGAAGGCGGCCCTGGAGCCAGGGTGTTCTTACCCGACATATGAGTTGATGTGAGAGCACAAAGAGAATAGAGAAGGTTCTTCTCAAACATCTCCAGGGGTCGATTGATGGATGCTCGGAGAGTTGGCATGTGTACGAGAGGCATGATGGGGTATATATGTTCCATAAAAAGATCGAGGCATGTTGGAATCAGATGAAAGTAGCTGGGGCTTGTCGGTCTGAACTGATCAGTGGTGAACATGCAGTTTGGCTCCTCGTGCCGGTGGATGTCCGACATGATAGGATGCCATGGGTATTGTGCGGCGGCAGCAGCAGCGCTGTCGGATATCCATTGATCGATTCTGGTGGTTTCAAAATGAGTATTTGGCTTCAATGACCGAAATGACGGTGCAACATAGTCTGGAAGGAAAGCGAGGTTTGGACACGGGAAGATCACATGACGCGAGGCCTTTTATTGACTTCAACAATTCCAGCCAGATTCAACGGCTTTTGTACCTGATGTGGAAGATAGATGCACCAAGAGAGGTAAACGTGAAACTCACGATGGCGGGCCCGAAGTATGGCTTCCGGAGGTGGAGCCATTGGACGGAGGAGGAGCCTTTCTTCCTGCAGGTCCATCTCCGTCTTGCGCTCTCAACTCATTGATAACCCTTCCGCTGCCCCTCTTGGGCCCCCGTCTCTTGGGAACATGCTCCCTCTTGCAACTCAACGAAGCATGGTTGCATTGATTGCATGGGAATTCTCCGTCACATCGTATGCCTATATTCGTGAAGACAGAGGTCAGCGGGCAGTTGTCGGTAGTCGGGCTCGGTGCTGACATGTGCCAGTTCCAGCCAGCTAGTGGGGGGAGGATTGACTTACGCCGTCTACGACAATGATCACAGACAGTGCGACGACCGGATGCGGGCTTGATTGGTTCTGGCGACATCCCATTTCGCAGCAGTCCGAATGGCTACCGGAATACCATGGAAAGATGGAAAGCTGGAGTCGGGATCGGGGCGAGACTTGTATCCAGCGAAAGATATGGCGAGGGCATCCGGTGAGGGGGAGGAGGAGGGGGAACGAGAGCGTTGAGAGGGGGGGAGCTGGGTAGGGTAGCGCGGTGGCGCGGTACGAGGGCCGACGGCATTAAAAATCGTCCATATTCGCTAGTGCAAGGAACACCAAAATGTCTTAGTTTTGAAAATTGTGCGTCACAACGCCACCACATTCGTATGCTTTAGTTCAAGCTTAATAGGATAGAAAAGAAGCTCAAATATCCTTCATTTGTATTTTGGTGACTTTAAAATTATAGGGACGTTTTTCGCGAATTTTTGAATGGGGGGAATGATTTTCAAGGCTCTCGCTTAGCAATTTAGACGATTTTTAATGCCGTCGGCCTTCGTAGAGTGGTAGGAGTGGTAAGTAGAGTGGTAAGGTTACTCTAGTGCGATTGGCTAGAGATGCACGTTTTGTAATTATTACGATTATATAATAATCAAGTCCGGCGTAATTATAATAATCAAGTCGTCAAATACGTATTGCATAAAGCACTGTATAAAAGAGCGTATAAATCGTGCATAATTTGTCACGTGGAAGGGAGTAAATTAATGCGTTTGGTTGAACACGGAACCGCGCTAGTCAATTGGAAGCTTCTAATTGGCTAAGGTCACATGATGTCTCCAGATAATATTACCATAATCAAGTCGGAGGGATTATATTACAATATTACGTATTCAAGTCCTAAATTATATAATTTTAGCATCCCTAGCGGTGGCGAGGCTGCGGGGGTGTTGGTGCCGGTGTCAGAAATGAAAGGCGGGGATGAAGCACGCTACTACGTGCGCTAGGCCTGCTTCAGGCTTCGAGGTCCAGTAGCCCAGTAAGGCTTCAATCGCCTGACTCCTGGCTGCAAGAAAGTCCCTGGTGCACGCCGCCAAGGCCTCCCAGCTGCTGTGCTCGCCTCGTGTCTCCAACATGCAGAGTGCAGAGTGCAGAGTGCAGAGTGCAGATACGCAGACACGCAGACCAGCCGGAGCTACCCTGACCTAGCCTGAGCAGCCCAAGCAGGCTGGGCAGCCTGACCAGGCATCTATCTCCTCTCCCTCTTCAACACCACCCTTTCCTGTCACGCAACCTACCAATTGGCTTCTCCGCTTCGCGTATCTCCTCTCTAACCCTGGCCCTTCCACGTAGCAAAGCCCGCCTTCATTCGATGCTGTGGCACCGTTGGCGTAGGTAGCACATTTTCCATGGCGGACAACCCGACCCCGACCCGACAGACGCCGGGGTAGGGCAGGACACAATCGGCAGTAAATCCCCTGAGAAAGCATCTCGACTGGTCGAGCTCGAGGTTGTTCCCCCGTTAGTCCTGGAACTCGTCCACGTGATGGTATCAGGTATCAGACGGCGTAACGATGTTCCTCGATCAGGCAGGTATAAGAGCCAGTTGAGCTCCCAGCAAAAGCTAGCTGAGCCAGGTACAGGGCTGAAGGTGGGTTATTTCCTTGGACATCTCTACGCAGACATTGCATTAGTACACAGTAGCTGCAGACGCGGCATATGCCTCGCTTCTCTCAATTCAATTCAAGATCAGCAGTACGCATAGTACTTACTGTATTTGGCTTGGCGAGGTCTTATTATGCTTTGAAGAGCGTTGGACGGCTTACGTGAAGCGTCATTGGCCATTGCCACATTGCGGCATCCCCGTCCCGCTGCAGAGCGACGCTGTTACACAACGATAGCTGCCATTTCTCGCGCTTACCACCTCGTTGGAGTCTTGGACCTCTGATTCCCGAGCCATCGTAGTGTTCCTTCACGAACGAGTCGACAATTGCTCTTCAACTGGATGAGTTTCGCCGGGCAAGCCCTCCGAATATAACTGCGAGAGCGCAACTCCATCACTCTCATGCCGGAGGCGCCCCGTCCCAGCTTCGGTTGGCCATGTCGCACCTCGGCCACCCACACCGACGTAGCTGTTCCCGTGCGATTCAACAACCATGTTCGCTGGGACCCCTTCTTCCTGTCAACCCCAGAGTCTTGAGGGCCCCAACTCCCAGCCGCCTTGAATGCGGACCGATAGTTTGGATGCAGAGGGGCAGATCATGGCGGGGTAGCTCGTCGACCTGGCCGGTAGGAGGGCGTTCCCCAGTTTCGAGGGCGGCTGCGGGAACTACTTGGGAGCCGTTGCTTGTTTTTGAGGTCTCCACAATGGACCTCATGATCTTCAAGCTGTCCGCTTCATGTCATGCAAGATTTCGCTCGAATGCTGTGCAAGTATCACCGAGAGTTTAGGCGATTTTGTAGATAAGGGGCGTTTCCTTCCTATTTTCGATTTCCGTACTGCTCTCATCCTCCAGCGAGGACATCTTTCGAGTTCCGCACTCGCCCCCCTCAGACATCAATCTTCTGGAAACCCCCCTGCCTCGAGTACCTCTGGTACACAGCATTCACCATGGCGACCGCTCACCGTGACTCCGATGCTGGGGTCAACGCACTGAAGCCCACGGAGACTGTGTTCCGCAAGATGTCTGTGATCAACCCCGAAATGCCAAACCTCATGAATGAGGCCAAGGATGCCACCGATAACGAAAAGAGCATGTCCATCGGACAAGCGTTCAAGACATACCCCAAAGCTGTGATGTTCAGTATGATCCTCTCTACGGCTATCGTCATGGAAGGGTACGACGTTGTCCTTCTGGCCAATTTCTATGCCTTCCCATCCTTCAATGCACGGTACGGTAGCCCAACAGGTGACCCCAAGAATCCATATCAAATCCCGGCTCCGTGGCAAGCAGGTCTTTCCAATGGTGCAAATGTCGGGGAAATCCTCGGTCTCTTCATCAACGGTATTGTGAGCGAGAGGTACGGATATAGAAAGACGATGATAGTATCTTTGGTCGCCGTTATATGCTTCATTTTCATCCCTTTCTTCGCCAAGAACCTCATTGACCTCCAAATTGGAGAGATCCTGTGCGGCATTCCGTGGGGAGTGTTCCAGACCTTGACGACAGCTTATGCGTCTGAAGTGTGTCCAACACAGCTTCGAGCGTACCTTACAACCTACGTCAACCTTTGTTGGGTCATGGGACAGTTGGTTGGTTCTGGGGTTCTCAGAGCTCTGGTGACGAGATCCGATCAGTGGAGCTATCGAATCCCATTTGTAGGTGTTCCACGCTCTTCTTTTCGTCCGCTCCAGCCAAAGACCACGTCCAAAGCTCGGAAGAGGCGAAGCGCACTAACACACTTGATGTCCAGGCAATTCAATGGATCTGGCCCGTACCAATCATCATCGGTGTCCTCTTCGCTCCTGAATCTCCCTGGTACGTACCTCCTCCATTCCCTCCAGCATATCTAACCGTCCCTACAGGTGGCTCGTCCGCAAAGGCCGCACCGAAGACGCCAAAAAAGCCCTCCTCTCCCTCACCTCGGCCAAAAACGCCGACGAGACCTTCAACGTCGACCAAACAATCGCCATGATGGTAACGACCAACGAGCTCGAGAAAGCCCTTGAATCTGGCACCGGGTACTGGGACTGCTTCAAAGGCATCGATCTGCGACGGACGGAAATAGTCTGCGTCACATGGTCCATTCAGAATCTCTGTGGAAGCGCGTTTATGGGGTACTCGACATACTTTTATGAGCAGGCGGGTCTGCCGACGGTGGATGCATTTGATATGTCGATGGCGCAGGTTCGTCCCCCTTCCTAGGACTGAAGTGGAATGGGAAGCTGACAAGAGGGCAGTATGCGATTGGATTCATCGGCACCGTCGGCTCCTGGTTCCTCATGTCGCGCGCAGGCCGGAGGACGCTGTATACCTACGGCCTGGCATTGCTCACGCTGCTCCTGCTCCTCATCGGCCTCATCTCCATCTCGAACTCCAAAGGCGCGTCCTGGGGCATCGGCAGCCTCCTCCTCGTCTACACGTTCACCTACGACATCACCGTCGGGCCCGTCTGCTACTCCCTCGTCGCCGAGATCCCCTCCACGCGCCTGAAGACCAAATCCATCGTCCTGGCGCGAAATGTGTATAACGTGATGGGCATCGTGAACGGCGTCATCGTGCCGTATATGCTGAATCCGACGGCGTGGAACTGGAGGGGCAAGGCGGGCTTCTTTTGGGCGGGGATGTGTGCGCTGTGTTGGCTTTGGACGTATTTCAGACTCCCTGAGCCGCGCGGGAGGACGTACGGTGAGTTGGATATTCTGTTTGAGAGGGGTGTGGCGGCGAGGAAGTTTACGGGGACGGATGTTAGTCCTTGGGCTTCCGAGAGCGAGGGGGATCGGGTCGAGAGTGATGAGAAGACGGCGTTAGGTGGTGGGGTTCATGTCGAGAAGGCGTGAGCAAGTCGGGTGGGATGGTAGACTCTCTGGACCATCGGAGGAGCTTGACGCGAAGCGGTAGCGGTGGAAGGTTGGGGAAATATGAATTACGAACCCCGGTTTGCAACAAGTTTGCGTCGTACTTGTATCCTGAATTAAATTATATCTATATACGATCGTTTGATCAGCTTTCTCAAAAGTACTCATCAGATCTGCGTGAGAATTTCTGTGGAACTTGAACCTTGAAATCGAAAAATTCCGTCCGATATGCATCGAAACATCCGCATCACGAGACCTGGCTAGTCCGGAGGCAATGCAATGCCGGAGGCAACGGAGGCAGGCAACGGAGGGAGGCAACGGAGGGAGACAACGGACGGAGGCAACGGAGGCAACGGAGGTACGATGTGCAACAAAACGCCGCTAGATGGAGAAAATTCACTCTCGACCACGTCAGATGAAGCCTCCTCCCTCGACATACCAGAAACCTCAGAACATCCCAGCACCAAGCCTGAAAAACTCCTATTCACTCCAATCCAACCCCTTTGTCCCAACAGAAGAGGCGAGAAAACAAACTCGAGTCCTGAGAGAGGCTGTGATAGTGGATGGAAGGCCGATGTGTGTGATAAAACGAACTAACTGTGTTTTGAGGGGAGAGATGCAAGCTGGGGAAGACCCTAGGTCAGCAGTGCTATTTGTTGTGTTGTGTAGAAGTAGACTTGCTTTGGACATGAATGCGATGTGTGCAACAAGAAGTCCGTTTCCTCGATTCACGCCTAGCCCCCTTTCATCTCGAAAACATTAGATGAGGTGAGGGATGGCTTAATGTAATCTTACTAGCCAAATATCGGGACATGAGACGAGGATAGAATCTGCAACAAAGAGAAAAGGCTTCGTTCACGAGAGATACGATATCTGATCTGGACAAGTCTTGTTGTACGCCAGTGCACTTGGACAATAATGCTGATGTGCAACACACATTTGGCAGGAATCCAAGATTCGCTTTCTTGAAGACCGTGTCTACGTCCCAGAGGGAGATCAACGTACGAGGATCTTTGAGCAGATGTGCAACAAATGTCTGATTCCCGAGATTCACCCCAACTGTGATGGTAAGATTACTTGAGTAAGCGGCAATTTCACAGCATGTCCATCTACAAACCTTACATCCACCATTACACCCTCCCCTCTCCTCTAACCCATCCTCCCAACCTGATTCCAAATCCAACTCGAGCCCTCAGTTAGGTAGTTCAATCTGCGTCGCAAGCCACCTTGGACTCCGGTAGTTCTGCCTTTTCCGTCCCAGCCGCCCCCCCCTTTTCCCAACATGACCCATTCCAGAGCGTTCTATCTCCGCCTTCGCATAAGCGATCTCCTCCACGGTCGGTTCTGCTCCTTGACGAAAAGACGGTTCCTCCTGGACTAGGTGTTTCTTCTTTTTTCTCTGATGCTAGAACAGTACTCCAGCGGCGAAGATGAGAAGGCTCATGCCAAGACCGAGACCAAGGGCTAGCTTGAGTGCAAATTTAGGCGTTACGGTATTGTGTTGTGTTTGTCTGAATTGAGAGGGGCAATAGATGTGGATACCGGGGAGGTGAAGTTCATTGATGTCATTGTGGTTGAGGCTGAGACTACAGGGGAGGAGAGAGGCGATGAAGGAGTGCCTGTCGACGTTGATGATGTAGAAGAAACTGGATTTGAAGCTGTAGATGGGGTAGAAGTCGGCGGGCCTGGTATTCTCTCGACGGATGGCGGCGCCGTTGAAGATACCTGGGTAGGCGAGAAGGCAGAAGCCTCCGCAGACAGAATACTCAAGAGCACAGAACCCAAGCCCCCGTCCGTAATCGCCGCGCCAGCAATGACCGCTGTCGTCGTTGTGTCCGTAGACGCATCGCTGATATTAAAATCTCTCGACTGAGCTAAGTGGTTGGCCCCCTGTCGGCCTAGGATCAAAGAGCAGAAGGTAAAAACTCGCTGCCCACAGTTCCTGTGGGATCGCCATCCCAGGCAAAGGAGCTGTGGGCACACTCCGCTGAGAAATGCCAACTCTATTAGTAAACCCGGAAGGATTTTGAAAGCACAGTGTGGGAGGAGAGAAACTAACTGCAGAAGAGTTGCTGAGTGCCGACGGTGTCTTTCTCGTACAAGGCGAGGCTGGTGGAAGATCTGTTGATTGTCCATTTGAAGACCTGCATGGTGTCGAGGAAGGACTGGGTTCTGTGAGGGGTCCGTTGCCGTTGGGTGTTTTGAGTAGGGGGAAAGGCGAGCAAGTTTGTGGGTCTGCTGTTGTGATGCGGGAGAGGATGAGAAGTGTTGCCAGTGCATTGACATCTTAGAAGCCAGCCAGAACTTAGCTCAGAGAAGGAGGACGAGAATCGGAACGCGATGGCAGGTTTGAGAAAGTGGATAGCGAAAGAAGGGATATGAGAGAAAAGGATATACTCACCTCTTAAGCAGCGAATTGGCCGAGTCCAGGAAGCACATTATGGGATGATCGACTCGGACCCCCCAGCGGTTGCGCATGCACACCAACGGGCATTCTTTGCTGACTTCATGAATCTAGTTCTGGACCCAATTGATTCTCGAAGTTGGAATACATACGATACATGCGTTGATATAGGCGAGGTAGCGCATGGCTTCCTGTAGTTCGCAGCCTGCGGTGTCACCAAACAACCCAACCGTTGCCATGCGGGAGGCTGCATTCGTTCCAAGTCGAGCCTGAATGCTGCTTTCCATGTGATTGCTATTGCGTTCACCACCGTCACCCCGTTCTTCCCACCAGATACCAGTTCGCCACCCTCTGCCCCGGCATCCTCAACGGCATCTTATCCGCCACCATCCTCTCCAGATCCGACCTCAACAACTTCTGCTCGATCTGCAGCCCCAAAAGCAGAATCGGGGTTAAGCCCCAAACCGGCGCCCTCTTCAGCGGCACCATCCCCATTCTCCCAGCCCCTAGTCAAGACTCCCTCTGGTCTCCTTCCTTCCACCCCCTCAGCCCCAACAACATTCACATCCCCAACCATATGCCTCACCTCTTCCCAGGACACCAAAACGCCCACATCCCCGCTGAAACTCGGCTTCAGCTTGGACGCCGGCATCCTCTCCCTCGCCCTCCTCGCCTCTAGGGCATTCTTCTGCCTTCACCGCCGGAAGAGGAGAGCTTCAGTTCGAGCACGGCAACCTCCGCCATGGACTGGGGGGACAGAGGCAGTTGTACGAAAGGGGCCATATGAGAGGGTGGAGATGGAGTTGCCAGTCTCTCCTGCAGCGAAGTTGGGAAAGGGGGGAGTTGGAGGGGCTGCTTATTTGAAGGCTACGCTACCGCCCAGAACCGAGCCCAAAGGGAATGGTGTCGAGCCCGGAGCAGGTTGAGCTGCCTTGACACTTGTTTGCAACGGATGGATATCGGGGGGCCAGGGTGTGGACGGGAATTTGAGGGCTTTTGCCTGAGAATGGTTGGATGTAATAAGTGCGTATTGTAAGAGTAGTTGGGAGATAAATGATACATTAATAATACGAAGTGGATACGTGGCACTTACTCCAGACTCTGACGGTACAATGATCACTGCGTTTATCAACGAAAACTTTCTCTGACCACTAAATTTGCAGCGAGGCGAAGTAGACAGCTCGCAGCATGTTCGAACTGTTATTATACATTTGTAAATCTTTATAAAACTTTGAATGAGCAATGCTCGGCTGACCGAAACACTCCTTATCATAATTCATAAACTTATGAAAGCATGCTAAGCCTGTCCAACAAATTGAAGAAGTCGTGGAGATCCCCACGTGATCACAATTCAGGGCCGTCAAAGTTTTCCCGTCTTAACTTTACAAAAGCGCTTTGCTTGTGAGGGAACGTGATCTCTCCTTCTTTGAGGAATCCCGCTTCGCTGAGAGTCGAAATAAACCTACATTACGAATTAGCTCACCCTCTCGTTGTAGGTGGGAAGTGCGCGTACCTCTCATTATCGACTCTTGGCTCAAGGACCATTGCATTGGTTCTGTAATCTTGAACGAAAGCCCAATGCGCAAGAGCTGTGATCCAGCACTTGACACGATTTTTACCTCGGAATTCATCTTCTCCGACCAACACATGAGCACCACGATCGTGATCCCCAGCACCATTGCCCAATTGCTTGCCAAGGACATCTTCTTTCACCCAATAAATTTCAAAATAGCCGAATGGCTTCCCGTCCCAAAGACCAATCACTGGGAACGAATGTTTGGAGGTCAAATTATTCTGGAGGAAGCTTTCCTGCGTGCTTTGCGGGCCGGAGCATCCCCAGAATTTAGAAACTCGGTCAATATTCATCCATTTGTTCAAGAGTTGGAGATCAGACATCAGGGAAGTGTCTTGTTGGGGTTCAGCTAACGGCGATGGAGGTGTGAGGTCTGCCATAGCAGCCACAGAGATATGAGTAGGTAGAGATGATAATGATGATCCTGGCTGGTGCTGTTTTGGGGCATTGAGTGATGCAGTCGAGCTTGAGGGTCCATTATAGGCAACAGGCTTGGAGGAAAGGGATGCACAACGGAAGGAGAGATATTGTCCCACACTAGGAACAAAACGAGTATAGAAAATCTCGCCTTGCCTAGGTGGTTTCGGGCGCAACGGGTGCCGGATGCCAGATGTTATAGTATATTGTAGAGGCGGCGGTGGAAAGTATGTTGGCAAATGACTGCCAGACGAAAACGGGCCAGCAGTGGATGGTGACCAAAGCCCTGAATTTGTACCCTGGGCTGCCGCACTGTGATCTCCAGAGTCTCGCTGATTTGGAGAAGGGTTCCTATGTTGCTCACCGCGAACGGGAGAGCTGGGCCTGCTCCCGTAAGGTGATCCCGGAAAAGATGATCCATTTGTTGGAGTCAAAGTGAATAAAAATAGCTTCGCAGATAGCTGCCAGAACGTCCTCTTCGAGATAAACATTTCGGACCATCCTTCTGCTGTGTTCTCCTCCACATTTGTGCCAACCGAAGAATCTTCGGATGTGATCAATCCCATTCTTTCCAGCTTTTGTATCAAGTTCCGTCCTCGAAGCACACCCTCTCTTTTGATGTTGATCCGCCAATCTCCCCGCGGCTTTCCCGCATCTGGTGTATGCTTCGATGCATCGGTCGTCAGATACGGTGAAGGCTCAGGCTGATGGAAATACCAATACAGAGTTGCCCACAACATCATCGCTATCTGCCGAGTCGGGCTCGTCGGGGTCTTGAAGTCGTGGCTCGAGGGATTCGAGATTGAGGAGATGAAGAGGTTATCATTGTGCAGTGTAGGGCGCTTGAAGGGATGGATGTGCCGCTTCCTCTCCTTTGGCATGCCGCTGGGCTCTGTATCTCTTGTATCCCTTTCAGCTTCGTGGTCGTCGGAGTAGTCCTCGGACTGGAGGATGACTGTCCACCCAGCAGGAAAGACACTGCCGTGGAGGTTGAGTTCATTGGATTTGAAGAAGAAGCCGCCGAAGACTGGCAAGACTGTCAAGTTCTGGCCATTGGGGAGGTGCACGAGGTTCGGAGTGGGCGCCATCGCGCTTGCTCATGGACGGTCTCGTCGCGAAGTCGGGGCCGTGAGCTCGTACGACTCTGGGTGTTGCTCAAGTGGGTAACAACCTGCGAAGTATTCATAACAGGATCTGCTCTGCCCTTCGGTTTCGACCAACGTTGCCAGGGCTTGCAGCAAGTGTCTGCCCTGCCTGTATCCTCTCAGCGGAGAATCGGTCAATGCACTGGTCGTCTGCTGCGGCGCATTTCTGGGAGAGCACACAGGTTTTGTGGCGGTTGGCGCAAGAAAACTTTGCAGTTTGTTGCGAATTGTCGATGTTTGCTGTTCTCGCCTGATGGCACCACCACTCACTCACCCCACCAAGCAATGCCCAGCCCGCCGCTGGCAACTGCATCGGCGCGGGATCCCTCCAGGCCAAGGCCTAGGACCGCAAGGCTTCAATGGGCACGCTTCAGCTCCTCTCCTGATGTCCATCCCGAGAGGGTTCCACAGTGTGGAACAGTGGGCGGAGGCTGGCGGCCAGCATTGGTCTTCGGAGAAAAGCAAAGTTAATTGTGGTCTGACCGGACGTTCTCCCAGCTGTTTGCAAGCCTTGATGATGTTCTGTCAATTCATACATACTGGTACAGTAGCGGGGTCCTGCGGTGACCTTATCTGATGCAAGGTGGCAAGGGCTGCCCTGGGAACAGCACAAGTCAACTGCCAACCACTGTCTCCTCTTTGGGCACTGGGCAGAGGCTTTGAGCTTGCTTTCTTCGTGTTCCTTCCCGCAGTTAAATTTGGCAACCGGCCCCTGATCGGCATCGGGCGTCGGGGTGGGCGATGTCTTCCAAGATTCAGCCTCCTCTAGGCCAGAGACCACGTGCGAGCTGCCCCTTCGCCTTCCCTCGTCTTCCCCATGATTCAAGCGACGGTACTAGTAACCCACGGTCGAATTTGCGACTTGGGTAGCACGGATAGAGCGTCATTCGTGGTGGGGGATGGGCCTGACTCGGGCGTGTGAGCAAGTGCCCAAGTGCCAGCCACACGCATCACTCTCCTCAATGGTGCCTGACTCAGGGGGAGCAATGAGAGATCTGCTACGCATTCGGCCAGCCACTCCACTCTGCTTTGCCGGACCTCCAACCACGCCCTTGGCAGGGCCTCAAGTCCCTTCGTCCTGCTTAGCAGTTTTCTGTCCCTTTCCCCCTTCGGCTCTTCTCACACTTATCGGCGACGCTTTTGACGACGGCATGGTCGAGATGCCCCCCTCGGTTGACGAATCGGCCGGTTCTGCGGTCTGGCGCTGCATGCCACCATCGCGGGCTTTCTCCATTCGCTCGCTGGACTACTCCTCTCATCTGTCTCGAGTACTCTCATTCGCCTGGCATGCCACATTTCAAAGTCGCTGGCAAGGATCTCTGGAGTGGGAAAGAGCGGCACCGCCTATCATCTGCATCAGCGTCACTCCCATTTCAACCAGAGTTTTCATGCACACGTCCATCTTCTCCATGTCCTTGCCGCTTTTTACTTGCATACCTTCAACCTTTATTGATTCTTTTCTACCTGCACCATTACCGTAACACAGTTCCGTCTTATCCAGGCGGTCGAGGCTGAAGTCATAGCCCCCCAAGAACATGGCATTTTCTGTCCACAGTCACACAACCTCCTCATGCAGGGTCTTTTCGTGCAACTCAACACAACGTTTTTTTTCCCTTGGTCAGCCATCTCGCATCCTGACAGCTGTCTGGGTGGTCTGGGCGACCCTCGTGTCTCTCGTCGGCTTCGGGGAGTCGCTCCGATCTAAAAAAAGGCAGTTGCTTCTCGATGAAGGAGGTTTGGAGCCTCTCGGCCGTTTTCTCTGTTCGCCAGCTTTCACTCGAAATGAACTTAGAGACAAGCTGAATATTACTGACGAGTGATTGGTCAGGCCTTGCAGTTGCTTTTCCAAGTTTACAAAACTTTTCCGCACGATTCCATCATCGCCGATCAACTATGATATCCTTTTTTCGCCCACCTGCTCATCCCAACCAGTTATGGTCCCTCGCCAAATATACATTGCCAAGACTTTCTATACAGGGAGCCACCCGACCAGGATACTCGCCTCCGCTCTTCTCTTTATCACGCCACGCCACTCACCTCAAAGGGCGCCTGCAAGCAGAGTAGGGCAGCGGTGCTGCAGTGCCATGCCATACTTGGTTCAAAACATACGAGCTAAGGGAGATGTCCACGATGATCAACTCGTCCGGCCGCACGAAAGTGGGCCACCCGCGCTTGCGGTATATCTGACCATGGCATCGAATCGACCCCAAGGATAACACACTTCTCCGTTGTTGGAAACTAGGACTTCTTTAGTATCTCGATCACCAGCATGGCAGCACTTGCACCTCTATCCATGAGCCAAAGAAAGGATGACCTCCTCAAGCATCTCAGTATGGATGCCGAGACGTATTCCCTAATGGCGGTAAGTTGCGCTAATTGCTCCTCCACCAACCCTCGATAGGACCCTGCCGCTCGGCCCTCCATGTCGATTTTAATTGTTTTAGAGTTTAAGGTTATTACTATCGCTAATTCTTAGCCACATTGCAGAAAGAGACGGACGTAGTCTATAAATGGCTAACCTCGGAGAACTACCACCTCAAAGAGAACTGCAAGCGGCGGCCCCCCTACGACTGGAGCGATATAAAAGAGAACTCGAAGGATGAAGCTATGAGACGCATCGCCCAAAGCGGCAACCCGCATACTCAATGGTACTGGGACCTCGCGGTCAAAACACCCGACTGCCCAAATTGGATAGCACGATGGTTCCTCTATCACAAATTCCGTTATCGTGACGGCAGAAATCGAAATCCTGGCAAGGGCTCGGGGAGTGGGAAACACCATCACTCTCATCGCCATAGGAGTAGCTCAAGACATCATCATAAGCATCGATCCGAAGAGCATGAGCAGTACTACGATGAGCCAGAGGAATATTATCCCGAGGAATCAATGACTTCAGGTATGTCATCCTGTGCTGAGTGTTTCTCTCTTCCTGGTCCTGAAGAAATGATTGCGGGGAGTTAATATCAACATCGTCCGTTTATCAGACTACCAACCCAAGCCACAATTCCCCTCCACGTCAATGCAAGCAAGGGTATAAGTCAAGTTCTCCACTGACCTTTTCATAGCCCCAGCGCCCCAAGAATACTATGCAGGAGGCTATTCAGGAGGCTATGCAGCAGGTGTGCTACCCAAGTTTGCCCGTTCATGGCAACGCCATTATTTGTACTGATAAGTGTAGCAACTCCTGCAGTGAGCAGTGGGTATACTGCGGGGTACCCTGCGGGGTACACATACCCCGCCGCTCAGACTTATGCACCATACGACCCCAGCCCAGCGAATGGGGAAGACGAGAAAGTCTACTACGATCCCGTCAGGGACATGACACGTTAGAATTACAGAAGAATAAGATGAAATGGAGACAGATCTTTTAGGGTCAACGCTGAGCGCACGAGAATCATTCGGAAGTCTTTTAACGTAAGCTTGGATGAATGCAAATTTCCATTTCCCCTTCCAGTAAATACTTTTGAAAGATCACAGGAGCCTCAAAGCACCAGATTGTATTCATCATCTTCTTTGTATTATCGGGTTTTTTGTTGGGCAGAAGGATATATGTAATATGATTGCACGAAATTAGCAGCAATCAGACATCTGAACACTTCCCCACATTTCCAACCCCATCCCCAACCCCCAACCCCCACCACCCCTCAGATTCAAATTGATACCATATCCAGCCCCAACAAATCAATCGATATTGTGTGATACGCTCCACGGGCAGCCTTGTGCAGATAGCGGCGTCCAGGGATCGGGATCCGAAATGCAGGACAGCCCACGTGGCCCTGTGTATCGAGGTGGGTGCGGCTAAGCGTGGGGATCGGACGGGTTCAACGACAAGGGTTACTGGACGGCCAAGCAGCCGGAGGCTCGATGGGGCGATTTGCCGGCGAGGGAGATGGCGTGTGTGGAGCGGCATTCCAATCTGTGGTGGGTGTGGAGCTGGGGTGGTCTTGGACCCTTTCCTGGCATGTGAAGAGATTGTGATAGATATTGGTGATTGTGATTGCAATAGTAGAGAGTTTTGAAACGTCATTGCGAGGGCCTGGGAGGTGATAGATAGCAGGAGAGCATGGGGTTGGGATTGGGGTACTTGTAATAGAGTGCGGGATGCGTACTGTACAGTTTCGTCATGCTGCTTGCTATGCTCGGGCGTCGAGTGCTGCCGAGGTCCCGACCTAGGAGAGAACGTAATGTAAGATGGTTAAGACAATAATAACTTTCTTCATGATACCCTTTAATCCCCTCGGTCCATAAGCTGAGAGACTTGGTGTTGACAGCCGCCTGAATTACATCTGCCGTCTGCTCCGTATCCGACGCAATTGCCCTCCCCAATCAACATCAATACCGCCCCCAGTTCTGAGCAGGGCTCCGAGATGTTAAGAGCTCCCTTCTCCGCCTTCTCCTCTTTCCTTTTCACACAATATCTATCAACAAGTGACTTCATTCCTACAACCTCGTCTCGCATCAGTTGGTCCTCCCTACAACACGAACCAGAATCAATATTGAGATACTCCGTACCTTAACGCCCTGCACTATCTACAGAACCGTACACTCGGTGCCTTCTCAAGCTTCTAGAGCCGCGATGGAAGCATGCGGATCGTCACCAGCGCACGTTCGAATACCCAAGAGCTCGTATTTGCGCCCTTGAGTGGGGAGATAAACTCACAATAATCGCGACGGTCACGTCCAAAGCCTTCTACAAGGGTTATCTGTGCTGTCTGTATCCAACGCGATTGAATTCCGTTCACCACTCGCTTCTCATTTCCGAGCGCGCTGCGAACACCTTTCCTTCTTCACTTACCCTTCAACAGAGCAGAAACCTCACCACGACAGCTACGAACAGCCAAAAAGCTCTCGCGGATAGCATACCGGCTGGCAGGACAGAATTGACTCCTCCCAGTCCTCCCACAATACCGTCCCTCGCAGCCATCAGCCCTCGCTTCCTCAACCACACTTCGCGACAGCTGCCGAACCTCCCCGATTCTGTGGCACTACCACCACTCAGTACGAATAAATAAATCACCTCAATTCATCCACCCCACGTATGGAATGCGCACCCGCAGACTATGTCTCGAAAGAAAGTCGAATTTGTCCACTCGACAGGACACCTCCTCTCGCCAACCAGTCCCTCTGCCCTAAATCCAAATCGAAACGACCCCACACATCCATAAACTCCTCCTCTCCAACAAGCAAATTGAAAGAAAGCAACAAGGCAAAGGCAAAGACCGAAATATCACTTTGCACACAAGGAAAGAATGGCTCGAGACGAATGCCAAGACGTTAAGACCTATCTTCGCTTCCCCTTTTCTGATCCATCGATGATCTGCTATCTCGACATGGAAGCGATTCCTCTGACGAGCATGGACTGTGCATCTGGAACAAGTGTACACTGGATACAGTTGAATAGGGCACCCGAAGGGTAAGCAGGAAATGGACGGTGTATGTTGGTATCCCCCTCGCACGCAATGCATCTACTCCAACATTCAATACACGAAAGCCTACCAGAAGGGGAACTCAAGACCAGGTTTTGCATTATTCCTTCTTGGGTTTCTTCTCCTTCCCCTCCCCATCGTCGTCGTCATCATCATCTTTCTTCCTACTGGTTTTCCTCTCCTTCTTCAACGCATCATGTACTTCCTCACTCCCCTCATCCTTCCGCTCATCCCACTCAACGTCATACTCTTGCGCCACCTGCTTGATCTCCTTCCTCAACGCATTCGCCTCTTCAATCAACTGGTCCCACTTCTGCACATCAAAGCCCTTGACTTCATACAAATGGCTCTGCCTCCTTGACACTGTCAAATTCAGCGCCGCACGATACGAAACTTCGCGATTATGGTACAGAAACCACAAGTAACCAAGCATGATTGTTGACAAGCCAGCGAGGTACGTAATCGGCTCCATGGTATCCCAGCCATAGCTCGTCTGGAACGTAAAGTGGTAAATCGCTGCCCACCAGCTGACCAACACCGCGAAACCGCCCATCGCCAGTCTCTGTGCACTGCGGTGAGCGAGCTCATCACACTCTTTCTTTACGCTCGCAAGATTGGCAAGTTTCCCGCTGGTTTTTCGTAGCCGGACGCGCAGGTAGTGCGTCCTGTCGTTGAAGCTCGGAACTCCTACTCTGATCTCGGATGACGAGCCCTCGATCTCGACCGCGAACTCCTTTCCTCGTGCCGCGTCACGGATAAAATCCCCTATCTCGGTAGAGCTAGACCAACGGACGAATTTCTGTGGTCCAGAAGAAGATGATCTTTCTCTTCCTTTCCCACTATAGCTCTCGACCCCGCCCTCTCCCGGCCCCCCTCTCAACCCGAATTCGAGATCTTCAGCTTTCTCCTTCTCCTTTTCTTTCATTTCTTTCCTCTCTTTGGCAATCCTCTCCATCTTCTCCTCCGAATTCTCAATCTTGCCCAACTTAATCAACTTCCCATCAACCATCGTCTCCTCACTGCCCTCCTCTTGCATCTGCTTCAGCCCCTCCTCTTCCATCTCATCCATCTCTCCCTCTTCCGCAGACTTAATCTCGTCCTGCGCCGAGTCCTCCGCGCGGAAATGCACAGCGGGGACTTTTTCACTACCGTCTTTGGCCTTTATCATAGGGAGTTCAGATTGGATTAGGCGTTCTAGGTAGGAGAGTGGTTGTTGGGGGTGGACGAGGAGGGCGAGGGGTTCGATGGATTTTCGGTCCGCGTTTTTGTCGAGGGTTGTCAGGGGGAGGATTAGTTTTAGGAGGCGGGAGGGGGTTGTGAGGAGTTTGCCTGTGGAATTGTTTCATGTTAGCTGGTGGAATGGGTGTGGTGTGGGGATCTTGGGGAGATGAGAAAGGAGAGGGAGTAGACAAACCCTTTGTCATAGCACCCGCACTCCTCATACGCTTGACAGGTGGCTTATCGCTTCCTTCTCTGTGCCATGGTGTTCTGGTCTGCAGCTCCTTCGCTTGGCCGATTGCGTCGTCGATTTGGGAATTGAATTCATCTTCGTGTTTGTCTCCGCTTTTTTGGTGCAGTTCCTTTGCGAGGTCTGCATAGTCTTTCCTCTGCAGATTTGTTGATGAGAATGCTCGATTCAGTGATCTTAAAGGTGAGGTAGAACCCGATGGCGAGAAATTGGAAATTGGTGGTGGTCTGCTGCGGAAGGTGGTGAGGATCTTGGGTTGAAATCTTGGGGATATGGAGGAACTGATTGGCGGGATGCGAAACTTGGTTGCTGAACGCATCTTGAACAGTTGCAGAGACGAAGGAAAAGAAAGGGAGAATCCCCCGAAGGAACTAAGGCATCAGCACATTGCAATTTCTCGGTTAGTATGGTTTTGATATTGAATTTTGATCGAGAGCTCGAGAGCTGTTGCAGGGTACCTTGGTATGGACGCGCCATGACGTCGGTCAATTCAGGGGATGGGAGCCTGACACGTGACTATGTACAACCTCACTTCTCTCAAACTCCTTACTATTTTCATACTAACAATGGCCCCGATAGAGTGAATCGTAGAAGGTAAGTCTTTATTGTATACCACATCAATGTTCCAAGTTTTCTCGCGCATTGAGCTTAGCAAAAGGGGGAGTGGATCTTGACAAGCGTCGCCCAGCAACCGTCCGTTCTTTCGCACACCACAAACCCATCTCCTCACGTTTTGTAGTCGCTATTCCCACGTCTTTGTAACCAGTCCTTAAAGTTTTATTAGTTTCAGATCCCACGACTCAATAAAACCTTGATCTCATCTAAATCCGCCTTCTGTGTATTGAATATCTTGGGCAATGTACGGTTATTTGGACACGCGAGCATAATTTTATATAAACCCACCCCCTTTAATAAGATACCCACTGCGTGCAAATCCGATCCGAGCCAGTAGTTTATCACAGGAGTTTCGATGAGGGAGAGGAGGTTGGGGTGTTTCTACATCTCAGAGGCTTTGACGATGATACGGTATGCTAAGCCGCCTGCAAGTCGAGGGGGTCTTTTCTTCTGAGAAGAGCTTCATGCGTAAATGATTTCAACCCATCAGCTCCAATCATTCTTGTTTTAACGCCAACACTTGGATTGGCACGCTAAGCGAGCAGCCCGTACCAACGCTCTAAAATACCGCCAATCCACACCTCCGAGAACTCTACCTTTCATACGAACAATACTCTTCCAAACAATTCGGAGGTTTTTAAAACAACTGCGCATACCCTAAAATGCCCCATCACGAAACTGGGAATGGCCCTTACCTTTTGTCCAGTTCGCTCCCTTCGGCCGACAATATCACCTTCTTCGACACAACTTTCTTCACCAACGGTCACAAGTGCCTACCAACTCCAGCTGAGGTTCGGCATGCCGCGGGACCCCAAACAAAGATGGATCGACCTGTTCCGGTTTCGTTTCCTTCGATGAATCTTATTGTTAAATGTGGCCTCACAATAAGGATGACCGAGGGACAATGTTTATGGGCAATTCGCCGCCTATGCCCGAATGTGCCAGTTCCAGAAGTGTATGGCAGGCGTCAGGACGAAGGAGAAACCTTTATCTACATGCAGAAAATCGAAGCAGCTGCTTCAGAACAGGAGTGGCCGGGATTAGATGTTGAAGAAAAATATGAGATTTGCAGGCAACTGCATTGCATCCTCAACGAATTGCGCCAGCTTCAACAAGACTCCTCTATGCCATTTATTGGTGAGCATCATATCTTTTTATAGGCTACTATAGCGTCTAACGCCAGTTAATATAGGAAGTATCAACCAGCAGGCTGTAGAAGATATAATCTTCGATGGCGGCGGACTTGACCGCTATTTCTCAGACATCAGCTCGTTACACAATTGGTTCTCAGGTGTTACCACGCCTCAAATTAACACCTCAAACCCAGACCCATGGCGTCCCGGGCTGTTGGATGACGTTCCCATTGTATTCACTCACAGCGATTTACATCGTAGCAATATTTTGATGTCTTGGGATGAGAATGGTACGCCCAGGGTAGCGGCGATCGTTGACTGGCATCAATCTGGATGGTATCCTGCGCCGTGGGAATTCTACAAGACGAGGTTTACTTGCAAGGCCAGCGAGCGGTGGGAATTAGACTACATACTTGAGTTTTTGCAGTCCTATCAGGGTTATATTCCCTGGGATTATTTTGTGCTTAAGCGGGGCACTTAGCAAAGCAATAATAGTAGTAGTTTGGAATGTAACAGATTTGCAAGGCAATATATCTCGTAAAAAAATTCCTGAAATCCGTTCTGCAGCAGCAGCAGCCTCAGTGTGTTAAATGAATAGATTAGATTAGATTAATGACCATTAATCTAATCTATTCACGAAAAAAAAAGGCATTAAACATATTCTATTCACGTACTAATTAGATTAATCATGATTAATTTGATTAATCTAATTAATGTGCACGTGATCCTTACACGTGATGAAACTAGCCAGATCGGGTAAAGCTCCCGCCCACTCCTGCCTGCTCCCGCGCTAGCGCTACCTCGTCACCCAATTAGGCGGTAGTATTAGTTAGTAAGCGAGCAAAAGGTCAGGGGCAAATCAAGATTTTGAGGAGGGTAACTAGTTTATTATTATAGAAAATTGGTATTTAGCTACTATTATATAAGCCTCTGCCTTAGTTTAATTAGGACTGCTTAATGGGTACCTTACTTATTTAATAATTATTAAGTAAAAGGTAATTTACTGGAGTCACGTGACAGATCAGTTAGATTAATCATAATTAATCCGATTAATTATTCTAATCTAATCAAAAAAATCTGGATTACGTTAATTATATTCTTATCTAATCTAATTACGATTAATGTGATTGGGGAACTGATGAACAATGAAACTCAAAGAATGATACAAGGCATCATTAGCAGGATGCCGGATGTAGACATTCTTCGACTCTTCAAGTCTTCGAAAGAATCCTGAATGTCAAGAGAGACCACCTTTTGGCTCATCCTTTGTTGGATCCATCTTCCAAGTTATAGAATCCTCTCAAAGATCTTTTCACCATCCTGTTGCATTCCCGATTTCCTAACCCAACATCAAAGTCTGTTATGCCGCCGCGCATGTGAGTGCGTTAGATGGAGCACATACGAAATGGAGGAGATATATAAACGGAGGAAAAACATGAAATGGATGACGTGTATAACGTGGAATAGATGGAGGAGAGATATATTCTCCTCTGCGTGTTTGAGGGTTTCGGGAGTTGTTGACAAGGGGAAGGGCTTTGGAGGAGGGACCAGTACATGTATATCGAGTCATTCCATGGAATGCCTGAGCGGAAGAGATTTGGATATGCCCAGCGGTACTAGTGACATGCTTGCATTTGAATGAAAGTTCGAGTTTACAGCAAATCATCCAGTGTTTCCCATCACAGAGATTCTCGACAAATCAGATGTAGGGCTCCTATCGAATCGAATCGGATCGAATTTATATAAAAGTTCGATTCGATCGAATATTCGATAATTCGATCGAATATTCGATCTAATCGAACTCCCGTAACTAAAAATCACGTGTTAGGGCATAGAATAGGGGACTTATACCTAAAGTAGTAATAGAAGCGAATTTACTAAAAGAATTAGCTATATACTAAATCAAAACTCTCAATTTCCTAATTCTCTCTACTACCAAGACCACTAATTCAGGCCTAATTACGGCCCAACTAGTATATACAAGTACCCTGATTTGCCCCTAATTCGCCCCTATAATAAAGATATATATACTAATTAATAATAGAATGGCACTAACCCCCCTGAAATCCTCCCAATTACAGGAGACTATGTCTATACCTTAGTATTTTTGTCGAATTATAAGAGAAGAAGATAAAGATACAATTACTATTAATACCCCTCTATAACCCTCAAGAACCACGAATACCTCCCTAGATACTCCGAATATACCAACTACTCGCAAGCATAAGGTCGACTATACTAACCTCTATAACTTCGGGTTTCAGGGCCGTTCTCCACCCTTACCAAAGCCTCTAGCTAAGAGAGTACGTGTTTCTAATACAGGAGCCTCTCAAGAAGCCTCTCAAGCCACTATAATTCCTGAGGAAAGCGAGAATAAAGAAGATAATAAAGATATACTTGAGAAGAAGAAGTAGAAGCAAGCAAATGCCTCTGGCAAGCGTACTTGGTAGTAGAAATACTATATAAGTAAGATACTTACTACTAAGTATAATAAGGGCAAGGGAAAAATAAAGGAGAGGGGTTTTAACGAGAAATATACCTGTAATATCTATAAGAACTTTAATTAACTAGTATTAAAGCTCAAGGGATTAACTACCGCTTTATCTAATTATATTCAAGTCGACTATAAGCGCTCCGATTTCTCTGGATCTATGGCCTCTGGATCTATGGAAAGGGTATAATCTAGCCTTAATAAGTTTATAAAATCAAAGAAAGATATACCTGATTTTGAAGGTATAATAGTTAATTAGATTATTAATACTTATTAGCCATTTATAACCTCAGAAAAGCCAAAGTTTAAGCTCATGACTGCTCTACCGGATATACTAGACAGATTATTAGAGGAGATATAATTACTAAGTATATTCTTAGTAGAGTTAAGGTTTCTGAGAGTAATTTGGTGGCTCTATTAAATACTACTTATAATATAATTACTATATTATTTAATAATTAGACAAGCACAAATAACCTCTTAATATTCGCTATAAATGGGAAATAGGCAGGCCCAGATATAAAGATATATTAAGCTTATTTAGACTTTATTAAGATTAAGGGTACTTATTCCGGTAGAAACCTTACTTAAATCATCTATAAGAGAGGCAAAAAACTCGGTATACTTTACAAGATTATAAGCCTTACTAGAGATAATACTAAGAATAATAATACTTATACTCGGTATCTTTACAAAATAATAGGATATATATATAACGAATACCTTAATCCAATACCTGTTTATAATAAATCAATGAGATTTAAGAGGGAAGCGAGCAAGATTAACTATTTAGCTCATATAGATAACCTTATTATAAAGGCGATTTTGAAGTCCTTAGGCTTAAGTACTTATAAAGATACTATAGCATTTCTCGATCGAGTTAGTAATAATAGTTAGAATAAGGTCACTTTACTTATAGTATTAGGAAATATTACTATACTACATATTATAGTCCTTTGGATAAACCGCTCTCTATAGCGAATTCAAGAATAGCTTACTCAAGAAGGGGTTACTTCTATAATTCCATATAATATTAATACGAGATGGAATTATACTCTTATAATACTAGAGGTAGCTCTCTTAAATCAGGCAGCTTTAAAGGCATTTATTAAGAACTATCCAGAAATCGCATATCTCTCTTTTGAGAACGAGTAATAGAAAAGACTCAAGTAGATTAGAGACCTTCTAAAGCTATTTAAGGAGTATATGCTATTCGTTTCCCGGGAAGAGCCTATATTATACCGTCTTCCGAACCTATACCTTTAGCTTGAGAAGCTCCTGTAATTAATTATAAAGAAAGAAAGAGTATATGCTATATTCGATTCTTCTCTTCTTGAGGCTATTCAAAAAGAACTTAATAAGTTTAATTAGTACTATATAGAGATAAAGAAAAACAATATATACTGGATTACTTATTATCTTAATTCGAGAATTAAGGCTAAGTAGTTAATTAAAAATCACTCTAATTACGAAGTAATTCTTAATCGCATCAAGAGCTTCCTAAAGAAGGCCTATTTATCTGAAGAAGAACTATTAGTAAGATCTCGTAATCTAGTTCAGAAGACAAAGATAAGCTTGGAGCTAGAGTTCTTACAAGAGTATGGCTCTATAATTATAGCTAATAATAATATTAAGTAATACTTTAATACTCCAAGTATTAATTTCGTATTAAATAAGAAGGAGAATCAGACTAAGTAAATATTGAATTAGTAGAAGGTCTATAAGCAAGAATACCCCCTCATATTTCAGGTTATACGTAATTACCTTCCTATTCCGGGAGCAGAGGTTAAAGTTAAGCAATTATTTAATATCGCAAGAGAGATATTAGGGTTAAGATATACTTTAATATCTATAGAGACTTTGAGGGTATTAGTCTTATTAAAGGACTATATCCGTCGTAAAGTAGCTAGACAAGTTTAGGTGGCTATAAAAATCACGTATATACTATAGATTATATCTAAATAGCCTTAATATTAATACAAATAAATATTATTAAAAAAAGGTTCTAGTTTATATGTGAATTCCTGATTTTGAGGGAAAATCACGTGGAAAATTCGATCGAACCATCGAATATTCGATCGAATCCTGTAAAAAAATTCGATTCTAATCGAATCGAACTTTACGTAATCCGATTCGACCGAATTCGATCGAATTTCGATCGAATCGAACTAATTCGATAATTCGATAGGAGCCCTAATCAGATGCCGTGAGCAGTAAAGACCGAAATCCCAGCATTGCAGTCGCAGCCGTAGCACTTGCCAACTTTGCTCCACAAAAAGGCTTCTTTCCAATCTGCAATATTGCGAGTCAGTAGCACATCTCTGAACTATTTTCTGCTGTATTACATACCAAGCCTTAGCATAGTGGCATCGGTACAACTACTTAACCACCATCACCGTCTCCGCCGGCGTACACTGTGCCTTGCTTATCTTCGTCACCCATCGCGCTAAATGGCGTTTCTGGTGATGCTAAGCTCTAGTCTTTCAAAATGGTTGATGGGTTATATTTTGTGAATCTCTTGTGAGTCTGATATTGGATGAGAGAGAGCCGAACATATAATTGTGCGGCCTCAGGGGGGCTTCCGGAGCATTTCATAGAACTTGCTAGCACGCACCCCACCCCCAACTCAGTAAAGCCTTGTCTCTAATAGAAAATGTTAAGTGGACGGAGATTGCCTTTGCAGCTTCTAAACCCCCCACCCCATTTCTTTTCTTTACTGATACAATATTTTGAGCCATATTCGCTATTGGCGAATTTCGAGCAGTCCGTAATATGAGGGGAAATTTCGATAACTCTATTGGATTGGCGTTTAGCCTTAAAATCGGAAAACGGGGGGCCATTATTCGGTTGGCAATTATCTTTCATGTTTCATCGCTAGCTGCAACGAACTGTCTCGGGACAGTCGAATCGACAGTCGGACTGTCCCCGATAAGAATCGATAAGATCGATTCTGCCGCGTTTTCAAGCGCTATCGCCACTTGGTGGGGGTTTGTATGGTCGCACGATAAGCTTTGAAATTCCATAAAAAAACTCCAAGTCGAAACTGAAGATATATATAAGGAGCTAAGATAGCTTTACTAATATAATAATTATATATTCGATTAAAAACTACAATTTCACTAATCTTTATGTATTAAATCGAGGAGTATACTAGACTAATTATAATATTTTTATATAGAAAAGGCTAATTTAAAGGAGAAGTAAAGAGAAATTAAAGAAATGATAAGAAGAAAATAAAGCTATAATTTAGTTAGTAATTTTAGTAAAGCCCGAAAACTAATAATATACTTATTTCTTATTATAAGCTTTGAAAAGGTAATTTATATTTTATTATTTATATATTTACTAATTGCATTATATATTTTATTTTTGGCTTTTTCTTCTTCTTATTAATATCTTTCTATAATAAGCTAGCTATAATATTATTAATTAAATAACTAATTGCTTTATATATAAAAAGAATAGCTTAATTAATTGTATTACTCTGGTAAGAGACTTAAAATCCAATGACTTCTTTGAATTCGTTCCCTATATTCGGCAAGCTTCCTCAAGAAGTCCGGAACATGGTATTTAGAGCAGCAGCGGATAACGAAGACTCTAACATCGTCGAAGTAGAATTTATCCGCACCCCAACAATCCGACGCAAGGGGCACCCCAGAAATTCTAGGCGACCCAGAAGTATAGTCTGGATCTACAGCTGCACACCCTACCACGTCTCTCCTCTGCTCAACACATCCAAGGAGAGCCGAGCCGAATATCTCCTCCGACACCCCCACACCTTACAATTAAACCGCGGCACACCAGTAGTGCACTTCAACGCCGCCCGCGACACGATATACTTCGACGCTGAATCACTCTTCAACTTCTGGCATTATATAACGAGACATAGGGCACGGCCGACCAAAATCCTAACCCGGAACCTGAAAGGCTTCCAGGCGGTACAGGTTCTCGGCTCGTACTTCCCTGGCACGTCGACAGTGCACAACAACGGACTGGCCGACGTGCGAGTGCCTGTTGAGCGAGCATTGACTAATCTCCAGCGTATCCGATGCCTAGGAGCACGAGGGGTCCATCCTGGGGGCTGGGATCCCGCGACGATAATGCCGCCTAACCAGAGACCGCTGCCGCGGAGGTTGAGGAGGGCGCTGATTCAGCTTCTGGATGACTTTGAGAATGGTATGCAATTTCCTGGGCATCCGCAAAGGGCAAGAATTGTGGCGCAGAGGGATAGGATTGAGGATGCGAGGGATGATGTGGACGTTGATGTTGATGACTTCTTCGCGCCAGCGCTGGGGTAGTCGGCATTCCGGTGTCCCAGGGGTAGGTACTCTTGCCGCAGGTTCGTCTTCCAATAGGAATCTAGGGAATCTAATGTGGAGTATCGATTTGGTAAGTGTAGATATCATGTTCAGTAAGTTTCCATAATGGGTGGGGAAGTGTATGGCGGTACTAAAAAGCACTTGCTCGACACAACAAGAAATCTGGGACATTGGATGTACTACAACTTGAGAGACATTCGGAGGGGGGGACAAATTCATAGCTGCACTGTTACTCCCGCCAAACGATCAAGCAATTCTATACAATAATACAGTGCGCAAGCATTCCAACCAAGCTTTTCAACTTTACATTCCAACCCCTACTCTCCCTTGAGCTTATCCTGCGTGACAGAGAAAGCCGTCTCCAACAGCTCTCTTTCTTCTTTCGTATGGCTTGCTTTCAATCCAGTTGCAACACTTGCGCTCGGGTTTCGTCCCGCATACATCACGTGTTTTCGGTCATGGTGTTCGGTGTGGTTCAGGAGGGTTTCAATGCGAGGTTGAGTAAAGCTCCATGCTCCGGCATTCAGTGGCTCCTCTTGACACCAAACGATCGTCTTTGCGTTGGGATACATGTCGAGATTCTCCTTGAGCAACTGCCAGGGGAAGGGGTTGAGCTGCTCGATGCGAGTGATGGCTGTGTTCTTGTGACCCTCGTCGGCACGATGTTTGTGAAGAGCGGCGTAGACTTGACCAGTGCAGAGAATGACGCGATCGATTTCATTTGGTTCGGCGATGGTGTTGCCATGCTCAGGGTCGGGGATAATCCACTGGAATTGAGATTCGCCGGTGAACTCCTCAATACTCGATCGGGCAATGGGGTGACGGAGCAGAGACTTCGAGAAGAAAATAATGAGAGCTAGATACGTCAGCAAATAGCAATATAACCGAATGGCTTGTACTTACGTTTGCGGAACTGTCTGTTCATCTGTCTTCTCAAGATGTGAAATAAGTTTGCGGGTGTAGTCATGTAGGCAATCTGCATGTTGCAATCTTGGTGCTGGCGGTCGAGTTTCTCTGGGGCTGGGAAGATGCGGGGATCCTCGTTACAGAGCTGCAGGTATCTCTCCATACGCCCGGAAGAATGCTCAGGTCCTTGGCCATCATATCCATGAGGCAATGACATGACGAGACCCGATCTTTGCATCCATTTCACCTCACCGGAGGCAACGAATTGATCAATAATACATTGGGCGTTGTTGGCGAAGTCTCCGAATTGGGCCTCCCACATAACAAGCGCATTAGGTGATGACAGTGAGTATCCGTACTCGAATCCAAGAACACCAAACTCACTCAATGAGGAGTTGGAGATGACAAACTTTCCTTGGTCCTTGCTGATGTGCTGGAGAGGAGTATAAGTCTTCTCGGTCTCTTGGTCATGGAATACGGCATGTCTCTGTGAGAATGTACCACGCTCAACATCTTGTCCTGAAACACGAACGTGATGGCCTTCGCTGACGAGAGACCCAAAAGCGAGGGCCTCAGCAGTAGACCAATCAATGTTCTTTCCTTCGTGAACAGTCTTGACTCTGTTCGCAAGGATGCGCTTCAAATTTCGATGGACCTGAAAGCCTTCGGGGGCATTGCCAATGACTGTGCTGATGTGCTCCAAAGTATGCTCGGGCACTCCGGTCGGGTTGTGTGGCAGAACCTCGGTAGCAAGCTCCTTGGGCGACTTGAAGCCGTTCCATGCAGAAGTGGTCCATTCCTTAGAAGTGGGTTGGTATTCCTTGCTCTTTGCAAAGCTCTCTTCCAACATTCCCCACACCCACTTCTTGTGCTCTTCAATGTCCGCCTTGGTGAAGCTGCCATCCTTTAAGAGCTGGTTCACATAAATGTCAATTTGGGGTTCGTGTCCCTGGATTCGCTTGTACATCAACGGCTGGGTAAAAGATGGTTGATCAGTCTCGTTGTGGCCATGCTTTCGGTAGCACACAATATCAATGACAACATCCTTCTGGAATTCCGCACGCCAGTCAGAGGCCAACTGACAGACGTAGTTGACCGCTTCAACATCATCGGCGTTGACGTGGAAGACTGGTGCGTCGATTGATTTGGCGATATCGGTACAGTAAGCGGTCGACCGAGCAAATCGGGGATCAGTGGTGAAACCAATCTGGTTGTTCACAACCAAATGAATGGTGCCACCAGTGGAATATGCGGGCAACGAGTGGAAACCTAAGCACTCGTACACAACTCCTTGAGCTGCGAAAGCCGCGTCTCCATGGAGGAGAACGCCCATCGCAGTGTTGTGTGTCCTCTCGTCATTGTTGTAGTGCTGGATGGCTCTTGTCTTTCCCAGAACCACGGGATCCTCAGCTTCCAAGTGAGAAGGGTTGGCGACTAGAGACAGCTGCACACGCTTGCCAGAAGGAGTAGGACGTTCGAAGTTCATTCCCAGATGGTATTTAACATCACCAGATCCTTCATCCTCTGCCGCAGCAGTTCCTCCGAATTCGCTGAAGATGGATTCGTTGGGCTTTCGGACAACGTTGCTGAGGACGTTGAGACGACCACGATGCGGCATACCAATGACAATATCCTTCACTCCATAATCGACGCTCCGATCGATAAGTGCCTTCATTCCCGGAACGAGAGTTTCGCAACCTTCGAGACCAAAACGCTTGTCGTTGGGATATTTAGTTGCTAAGAAGCTTTCGAACGAAGAGCTCCAAATCAGACGGTCCAAAATTCGACGCTTCTCATCAATCGAGTATTTGAAGGGTTGTTCGATCTCAATTCGCTCACGCAGCCAATCGCATTGTTCTCTATCGGGGATGTGGATGTACTCGATTCCGTAGGAGCCGCAGTAGATTCTCTCGCAAGCCGCAATAATATCCCGCAGGGTCATCTTTTCCCGGCCTTCCCTCTTGAAGCGTGGCAGAATGCCAGGACCAAGTGTGTATTCGGTATCGAGATCCTTCTCGGTGAATTGGTAGTGTTCGAGACGTAATTCTTTGGGGTTGCTGTAGCCAAATTCCTCAGCCTCGCGTCTAATTCCTAGTGGGTCGATTTTTGCCTTGTGATGACCTCGAGCTTGGTAGGCACGGACGAGGAGTTGGACCTTCAAGTGATTCGTCACATCAGAGCCCTCCCCAGCTGCCATTCCTAGTCCTGGCATGAAGTTGGCAACGCCTCCGGTTGGAGACGGGACGAGAGTTGGTGGAGGAGTGAACGCCTGCGACATTGGCATATCACCACTTTCCATGTTCTTAAAGTACACCTGCCATGAGATGTGCACGCTCTTCGGATCCTCCTTCCACTGCATATACATCTCGTCAACGTAATTCGCTGTATTTCCAGATAGGAAGTTGTCATTTGGGTCGGGAGCAGAAGCAGCGGCTGTAGCATATCTCCGCTTCAAAGGCGAAGGCAGAGGGCGGAAGGAGAGACATGATTGAGCTGGGCGGACCGGGCGAAGCAATCGGCTGCTTTGTCGCAGCAGCGACGGCGCGAGACGAAGCATGGTATGGAGAATAGGAGTAAGGACGGTAGGTAGTAAGTTAAAATAAATCCAACTGGCCACGCAGTTGCGGGACAAATTGGGGTGGATTGCGGGAGAGAAGGAAGGAAAGACGCGGAACAAGACTTCGGGAAGAAGGCCAGATGACGGCCGTTGACTGAGGTTTAGCACAAAAAATTGACGCCAATCAGAAATGCCTCAAACTCAAACGGCTTCCGGGATCACGTGGGTGGCTTTTCTAGCATGGATTATGTCAGCAACTCCAGGCATAGTTCGAATCTAGGGATCTTTGATCTTGCTCAGAGCATCAACCACGCGTCCATTCAGATGCAAGCCTCAAAGACTAAGGATGGCACCGTCTATCAAGGGCCTGGCGGCTTACAAGAAGAAGGATGGCATGCTGAGCATTTCGAAGGACCAGCGATCCATCGTCTGGCTGCCTCTTGGTGCTCGGGATGCTGACAAGAGTGTGTCCATTGCTGTGGTAAATATTACCAGTAGGTCGAATCTGCGTTTGCCATTCGAATGAAGCTGATGCACCTCAGATCTGCAGCAGACCCCAGAATCAGCTGCGAAGGTGATGCTGAAGATCTTCGAAAAGTCACCTGATGCGGCTGAACCAGTCACCCACGTCTTCAATTTCAACTCTCCTTCGAATCCTCGTGGGGAAGCAAATGCGATCAAAGATGTCTTGACCAACCTGATCAGTGCTATCAAGGCCAATGATGCCAGTGTTCCGAAGCCGAACGGTGCAGGGCCGGCGTCTGCAGCAATGGCGATTGCCAGTGCCGTGACCTCCAAACCGGCGTCAGGAGCTGGGAGGTGGTATGATGATGCTCAGTTAAAAATTGACATCGAACTGCAACAGTCCCTCATGAAGAAGGATCCTACTTTGCATCGAACTTACATGGAGTCAAGACGCACGAAGCCGGATACCATTTCTGATTCGCAATTCAACTCACAGTTCTGGTCGACGAGGACTAACATACTGCGAGCTCATGCCGTCGAGACACATCAAAAAAGGGGGGCGTACAATGTCTTGTCTGCTGTGAAGCCCCGGACCGTGGATGGAGAGCTCAAGCTGAATATCAGCGCTGAGCAAGTATCTTTGATCTTCAACCAGCATCCGCTTGTGAAGCGGGTTTATGATGAAAACGTGCCTAAGGTCAACGAGTCTGAGTTCTGGTCTAGATTTTTCCTCAGTCGACTCTTCAAGAAGCTGAAAGGTGAACGGATTGTCGAAACCGACTCCACCGATCCGACTTTCGATAGATACCTGGACACAAAAAGCGATGATGGCCTCAGTCAAAGGTTACTCTCCACACATATACCTCATATCATTGATCTGGAGGGCAATGAAGAAAATGAGGGCGGAAACAAAACTGGTAATAGAAAGGACTTTACCATGAGGCCAGGATCAGCAGCCAAAGTGCCCATCATACGAACAATCAATAATCTGAGTGAGAAGCTGATGGCCCACGTTCCTCCGTCTGACGTTGATCCTGCAGACCCCATTGGAATGGATGAAGATACTTTCAACTCTCTTGCGCTCAGAGATTTGCAGGGCGACCCGGAGGAGAATCGGATCATGCTCAACATCAAGGAACAAAGTCGATTTTTCTCCAATGAGAAGTCAGAGATGTCTGCGGAGGCCGCGATGTACGCAAAACAGGTACCTTCCGAGGTCCTTTTTGAACTGCAGGCGGACGTCGATCCCACCATCATGGAGAACGATACAAGTGGGAATTTAGATTTACGTGCCGCGATTGGCGTTTTAGAAGATAGTGACAGTGAAGACGAAGAAGAGAAAATGCCGCATGTGGGGAGCAAAGCCAGTCTTGCAGATGCCCAGAAGCAGGTTTTAGAGGGCGTGAAAGCGCGCCGGACCGAGATGAAGGGCTCGAGTACGGAGTCTTCATTGTCGGGCCTTTCGCAGAAAATGTTTGACCGACTTACATTGACTCACGCTACTACGACCGAGTTTCTCCATCATTTTTGGCTCGTTTTCCTCTCTGGAGACCCAGATCGTGCGGGTGAGCTTGCGAGGATGGTTGAGACTTTGGACCGAGCGATGGACCGGATCAATGCTGTTGCTGCGGACGCGGAGAAGGAGAGGGAGGAGGCTCTTCGCAAAGAGAAACAGCGTATTAGGGCGAAATATGACCAATATGGAATTAAGGAGCCATGGAATCCGAACTCTATTGGAGGCGGAGAGAAGGTCGTAAGAGAGATGATGGAACCGACGATCAGAACTCTGCAAAAGGCAACAAAGGAGTACAAGAAGGCGTTGGCTGCTGAGGGATTGGATGTTTCATGAAGAGGTAATCTGTTTATTTTTGATTTTCATAGCGATGGCGTTGGTCGGAAAGGGAAAGAACGATGGTGGTGTTAGAACGAGAGTACCACCCCGCAATGGGCGAAGGTAAATTCGCGACTTCTTCTCTACTTCCGTACTCCAATCCAAAAGCATCGTCACATCATTTATGTCTTCCTTATCATTGCATTGACCAAAGTCCGGCATCTCTTGATCTCTGATTTCCTCCGCACAACTCCAATCTTATGGATGATATCATGTCTACAAACCCAGCAGCACGGCCGGGGGACTCGGGGACTACTTCCCTCAGAACGCCATTGAGGGCCATTTCCCCACCGACGCAAAAGCAAGTTCGGCGGAGGAGCTCGTTCATACTTCGCGGTGACTCGTCGGAAGATTACCCAAGTCCGCACGAGTCGATATTTGAAGCCTATTTCGTCTCGGCCGCGAACAGTGAGGAAAGCAACCATAAAATCGAATTGGTTTCCATCGCACAACACAATCCGGGTGCGGAGAACGAGCCTGCAGGGACCGCTGAAAACAGCAGACAGCTAACAGGACCAGCTGGTACACTCCCAATCGCCGACGTCGAGTTCCGATATGGCCGGGGCACCGTTCTCGAGACAATCGCGGAGCAGAAGAGCTCAAACACTATGAGGACGCTTGCGCGGGCGAAGTCGGCGGATGGCTTCCCAAAGATTCCTTTCCTCAATCATTGCGACAGTTTTGAGGTGGCAAAGAGTCCACGTCGAAAGCAATCCTTCAGTGTCGATGATCTCGCCTTGATTCAACGAAATTACCACGAAGCATGCGCCATGATCGAGCGTGAAACACGCAAGCCGTTGCCAGTACACGAAATATATGCTCAACCAAAAAACCCGATCCATGCTCCAGTATACCGCCCTCCGACTCCTCCGGGGATGCCGTCTTGGACTGCTGCACAGAATCTTCCACGACAGACTGGAGGCTCAAATAACACACCTGGTGTTCAAAATCGCCTTCAGAGATTCTTGAATCTTCCCGCCTCTGGAATCACCTTCTCATCTCGCGTTCCAACAAGAACCGTGTCTACTCCGCTTCCGAGTCGGGTCGCACCACGGTTCCGACCTCCACGAAGTGCATACGGACCTATTAATCGACACCCCTTCGTCACCGCTCCCGTTGCCAAGGCCAACCAAATGCCTCCATCGGTGCCTCCAACTACTTCAAGTTCTAGCGGAATCCAGATAGGAACAAGATTGCCAAAGCCCACTGGCAAACGCAAGCTAGGAAAACGGGTACGATTCACGCCGTCTGCCACAGCCAGAGATTCGGAGATGGCCTCACTTCAAACAGCAATAATGACCACCAGTTCTTCAGCTATGCATCCACTAGCTCCAGTACAAGTCTCCCCGGATATTGCTCATAGTCTCCCAACACCACGCTGTCCACATCGTAAAGGTCGGCGGGAGGTAGTTAAAATGCTCAGAAACAGCCTTAACCGCGACAATACGGTTCCGCCCAGCAATGAATACCTGACCCTCAGCGATCAATCGCCCCCTCGTTCAAGCTCGACTTTATTTCCTCAAACTTCAACGCCTATCTTGTCACCGACATATCCACTCTCTCTCCCTTCTTCGAGACAGGCTTCCCTCAACACAGCAGATACTCCTTTTTCTGATTCCCAACCCAGCCGCACAACATCCTTCTCCTCCACGGCACACCTGCTTGCCAGAATTGGCAGGTCATCATCTCCTACGCCGAGTTCATTAAACCCGACCAGCCCCGGCAGCACAGCTTCAACGAAAGAAACTTGGTGCTGGAAATGTAGTGTAGAGAAGGGCATCAAAAAAATTGATCATTGCTGGATGCAGAGTGCCAGCTGCATGTGTACCGTTTGCTTCGGTGTCGATGTCGATGACGATATGAGTCTTCACCATAGTGCTGGTGCAGCTCACGCCAGCCGCCACCTAGTGCCGGGTGGGCTGCCTGGACAGGAAATTGTTGGGCCGAGGAGAGTGGTTTTGGAGCATACACCTGTTGTTATGCCCTGATTGAATATGGATCCTCGTACGACAAATTACAACGAGAATGCAAGTTTGAGAATCAGTATTGGGCTAATGATTTGCGATTGTTTTGGACTAGTATTGAATAGAAAGTTTTGTGTTTTCAGTCGCTGACCGCGTACTCATAGAGCAGATTGGCCCCCACCCAAAATGTCTTCCCCAACAACTGGGTCCCGTCCACTGTTCAACCATCCTACGCTTATGCTCATGCCTAATGCACTCTGCCTGCCCACTACAGGGTATGGGTCATGGGTGTGATTTTTCCCATTGCAGAACGAGGCTTTTGTAGCTGGCAAATCGTGCAACCCTGTGGCCAGTATTTCGCTGTTATAAGGAATCGCCCTTTCCCGTTCAAAATTGCTCGCATCTTTTCGCCATGCTCCTGCACTGCCCTTATGCTAAATTGTTGATGTCTTAAATTGCGAGGCCACGAATGGTGCCAGTGTGGGTTGCACAACCGAAGAAAATGAGTTGTGATGGCTTAGCCAGCATTCTGCCACCACAAAGCTGTTACGCAGTAGTGTGCAGGCGATGCACAGATCACTAATCTATCAACTGGCTCGCCAACAGAATTCTTTAAATACTGTTCTCACAACACTTTCATTGGTTGGCTCCATGTTGAAGAGGTCCTCATTGGACAATATGCTTTTGTTCCTCAGTCCCGGCATTGTTTGACTGCCTGGCCATGCCTTTTCAAGCTTAGGGGTTTGGCTTACATGGGTTTTCTCATGGGAATCGTGCAAATATTCGTCTACCTTGATTTGCGTGTCAGTTCCGAAAACGTACTTGAACACCACCACTCGATGTTCGAAGGCCAATGTTCGGCTAGAGGTAGGAAGCATGCTCATTGGCGAGTCAACTTTTGCTTGCATACGTCTCTGCTCTTATCAGCGAGCGCTTTTGCCAGTCCCCGGCATTCCAATTACAGCTACCTAGTTCCAGAATCAGCAGCCACCGGTCCATTGCCTTCAGGATCCCTCGAAAAGCGCCCAGGGGGTCACGATGATGGACGCGTCGAAGATGAACAAGAAAACCGTAGGTCTCTGGAGCAGGCCGTTCATCAGGATCAGAGACAGGGAGTCATGGCCCGATCTAATCAAGCTCATTGGCCAGTCTCCTTTTGTGATCGAGTTTGTCTGCTCTCTCAGGCTGCCCATCAGCGCCACCCTCGCCTCTGACACAAATGAACGGCCTTGATTTTGTCGTGCGCTCACCCCCCAAGTGGCAAGGGCGCAGAATGGTACATGGGGGTCACCACACCCACCGTGATTGTCGGATGGTCTCTGAGGAGAACCTTCCAGCCCAGAACGAGACTTGACTATCCCGCTACTCCCGAGACTCCGGCTCGCCCACAGCCCTAAGATTATTCCAAGGAATTCCAGGCACTCCGCATTAACTAGCCGAGACTAACTTTGAAATCGCTTGTGGTTGGGCATTCTCCTTGCGCACAAATGGCTTCCAAATCCCTCAGATCATCTTTCCACCCTCTCAAAACATCACTCAACTCTTAGTCCTCTTAAACAATGGCCTCGTCGCTCCCTGTTCGCATTGCCACAAACCTTTCGACATTTATTTAGGATGTTTCCCAACGAAAAATTTCAGGGGCAAATGAGTCAAGATCACAGCCTTGCGGCTGCCTAGTAATCCCCAAACCTAGAATCCTTCTTATCATTCAGCACCCGTGAATGCCATGGAGCCATCAAACACTACACCTTCCCGGGAGGAGCTTTACAAAGTGCGATTTGCAGAAAGATGGGAACTCTTGAAACCGGTGCTTGAACGCCTCTATTTCGACGAGAAACTCAAGCTCCCAGAAATAATATCTCTGATGAAATCCACATACAACTTCGACGCCAAGTAAGCATTCGGCTATGTTCCTTGAAGAGTGTATGCTAACCCTAATTGCCTATCTAGTGAAGCCCAATTCAAGTACCAATTCAACAAAAAGTGGGGTTGGAAGAAGAGTATTCCCTCCTCAACGAAAGAAGCTATCTTAGAGATCGCTCGGACAAGAGCTGCCGCGGGCAAATTAACTCTCGTGAAATTCAAGAACAAAGAAATAGATTTAAAGAAGATTCGGAGACATGCCAAGCAAACCGTGAGACAAGATTTATCCTCCAAAGATGCCCTCGAGGACAGCGCAGAGAAAGGAGACCTTGACTTGAGCCATGAAGTTCCACTAGAGATTAGAATGTAAGATACTCATCTCCAATATTGCTTAGCCCGCTGCTCACTCCAACTTCTGTGTAGCTTTCTTCTATGGAATAGGATTTTTGAGTTCGAGGGCCTTCCTATTCTTAGCCCTATTGATATTGTTCCCTCTCCTGCCTGCGCCGTTGACCCAATCGATCTCACGGTTGCTACTCCTCCAGCGGAATCTTATATCCCACAATTTGACGCTTTGTATCTGCACTCCTCAGTGATGGAAAAGAAGTTGACCAGTCGAGCTCATCTTTTTATCCAAGGTAGATATGACGAGCTCATACACGACATTGTGAAAAATGAGATGAAGTAAGTGTTCGCCGTATAGTAAAGCTCTGAAAGGAACTAACACAACCCAGGATACTGTCGACATGGTTATACCATTATTGGCAATTTGCATTCCATACAGCAAAGTTTTGGGGAAATGGTCCACGAAATTGGACCGCTGAGAATCCCAAGTTGAGACAAATTCTCGAAATTGACACATTGTCGTTCTCAGACCTGCCTCTCGCCTTAAGAGCAAGGACAGAACTCGCCCCAGGATCTGGACAAGCCGTACAAGGTCCGACAAAATTCTGCAACTGGAGTATTCATATCTCAGACAAAGACTGGAAGAACTGGAAGAACTGGAAGAACTGGAAGAACTGGGATCCAAGAGACGACTTGAACAACTTGGAGTCAACAATGAAGGAGTGGCCAGAGAATTGGAAGAACCCAGCGGTTGAAAAGCGGCTTCAGAATGCGCTCAATTCCAACAACTTCAGCAATATTAAAAGTGAAGACTTACCAATGGCACTTCACCAATTGGCCAAGACAGTCAACAAGTCAACAAATCAATTCCTCCAAATGTCGTTAAGCTTCAGTATCATGGCTGGTAACTACATTCTGATCGAAGAATTATTGGGAAAGGCTGAAGCGGCAGAGGTGGATTTGTCTGAGTTATTTCCATACCATCTTGCCACAAGCTATTTAGATGGGTCAGTCCAATGTTGTCGGATTTTTGGTTTGCTATGCAGAAGACTTGGAGGTGGAAAGTTTTCCCTTACCCGATGCTACACAAACCATCTGGGGCATTCTGTGCTCGACAATCTTATGATTGCTATTTTGAAAGGCCATACATCGATTACCCCGGGCATTGCCAACAATGGCTGGAGAAACCAAAGCCGTTTCGATGGAGATGAAATCGATATCTGTGGCAGATGGGCTCCTGACTCAAATGAGCTCGCTACAGTCCTAGGTAGCGGAGTTGGCGGCATTCCCTTGGAATGGAAGCATAAGTTTTGTCACACTTCGGCCCAGGCCATTTTGCATTGCATTTAGGCTGCTGAATTCCACGGTGCTGATTTGAATACGTCGAGTGGACTCTACCTAAAGTTTTGTTTCTCCTGCGGTTCGAAACTGCAACTCCAGCCATTGCATACGCTCATATTCACTGCATTCCAGCTTGCGCAATTTGGACGCACCGGCGAGGATCTGTTCGGCATTATTGCTTGCTTGCTCTGTTTGCTACAACTTGGGGTTGACCCTTCCCGGAAATCAACGATATCCACAACAATTCTGTTGGACCAGGCGCAAGACAAAACTTGTTGCCATTCAGAGATGACCCCTCTCCAGCTAGCAGATTCGTTGGGCTTGATGTTCTCTGATACTTGGCCCACCAAACTGCAGGTGGGATGGAAGATTATTTGCCATCTTCTTGGTCTCGGGGAGGCGGAGCGGGACAAATGGGAGCTACGACATCCGAGTTCAGCATCAGGTGTTGCAGCTCAAGATCTTGAAGCGTCGGTGGAAATTGGGGATGCCACTGGATCTGCACCCTCAAATGGCTATCAGATTGGCTGTGACGATTGTATCTGGGATGAAGGCTTCTTTGGCAATAACAAGTATCTTGGCCACATCTGGGCTGCTGTCCAAACCGAGCTTCTGACACACCGGCGCCGCCAAGACGGAGATCATTGGATGTCGGAGAACTTTGACATGGATGCTTTGTTGGGCAGCTTGCAGCTCGGCAGTGAGCTAGCCATTGGATTTGTGAACAGAGGGGTAATGAAGAAATACTGCTCCTGTGGAAGCTTCACGGAGATTCCATGGCCAAACTTGAGTCTTGGGAAACAGGTCACCGCGAGTATTCTCGAATCGAGTAAGTATTTTGACGCTGGTGTTAGGGAAGGGGCTCTATCATAATTTCATTCATTATCCCTGAATATACGATGCCATAGCCTTCCCCGCAATTGACGAACGGGCGTGAACAGAACCACTTAATACTGCAATTTTGTCTCCAAATGCAAAAATTATTCTTATCATCTATCAGAACCGGTTGAACTTGAGAGATAAACCCAAACCCAGAGACCGTAAATTCAACACTACTAGACCCTGAGTTGATAACTTGGAGTGATAATGTTCCATTAGTGTTTTTGAAACACTGACACCGAGACATCCAGCTAAAGTTAATTTGATTATTAAAGCTCTAGGACGCACGAACTGTGCAAATTGCGTAAAAGCCCGAGCCTCTTCGATCCTGAAACGGACGTAGACATTCATCAAGCAATTGTTGCGCTTGAGCTGGAAACAGCTGGTTCCGCACCGATCCAATATAAGAAAGCACTCAGATTGCTCGTAGTGACACCACTTTGGATGTGCTAAGCCTATGTCAGGCCGCTAGCAGTGCCGCTAGATAAGGACGACATTACCCAAGCACTATTACTAAGGTCGCCCCATTCCGTCTACCACGCGGGCAGAAACGAAAAAGAGAAGGCGCCCTAGAAGCTCCGAGATATTCATAGGAGGTCAAGCCACCTAGCTTATTGATTGCCCCCGTAGACTTTATCCTCCGTAATACACTTTGAGAGAGGCTCTATCCTTTAAATTCGTAGCAATTAATTAGCATCGAGGTATATCCTGTACTGTCTAAGGTCTTTCGTAACGTAGTAATAACCTAGGTAGCTTGGGCACTGTCGGAACGTATGCTATTATAGGAGAAGCTTGTATTAGCCTCATTGAGAAAACTATCGTTGGAATAAGTAACACTAGAGCTATTGTGTATTAAACTAATTTATAACGTAGGCAAAGCACTAAGTACATTCATAGAAATTGTCTACTTTGGGTTCCCTAGGAACTTTGTTTGGGCTCCTTGAGTATCATTGTCAAAACTTGACAAAAATAAGAAAACAGAGGTTAAATCAAGTGTAATTAGCTAAAAAGCGAGAAGTCAAAATTCGTAACGATATGGTAAATCTTGCTTAAGATGATCGGGCCTGCTCAGGTGAGCTGCTCAGGGTTCTCAGAGTGCTTAGGTTACTCAAGCGAGTTGGCTGAGTCGAGGGTGATTAGCGCCTGAGCTGGCTGAGCAAGAGCGGCAAGTTTACTAACCCCATGCGACGCACATGAAAGAGAAAATTGATTCATAATACTTGTATTTTTCCATAGTAGGGATTAGCTTCTTGCCTATGCTCGGCCTTAAGATATAATAAATACTTATTTTACTAAAGGAACACTTCTCCTCTCTTCTATCGCCCTTCTTCCTAGCATATGCTCGATCTTTATTACTAAGAAGCACATAAGTAAGTTAGACACACCTTGCTTCACTGTCGCTGTCGTTGTTACCTCTAGGCTCTAGTATATGCTCGGCATATGTAACTCATGCACTCAGCATATACTAATCCCAACCCGTAGGGCCCCCCACCCCCTAACTCCTTGGAGCTAACCCGAACCCTAACTCCTAACCCTAAGCCTCCCCGCAAGCTCGGGACCAATCCTAACCTTCCTAGCTCATGCATATGCAGAGCATATGCTAAACTATAGTAGGGATAGCTTGAATAAGCGAGGACATGTTGAGCATATGCTGAGCTATAGTAGGGATCAGCTAAATAAACGAGCATATGCAGAGTATAATGGCAGTCTCTGGTTCGGTGAAAGAAGCTTGGAATGCTCTGGTAAGGAAAGAAAGTAATTCTGAATTGGCTTGATCCCATGAAATGGCGCAACTGATCCAATCTTCCAGTTATCGTTCATTATAACGAAGATTGCAGTGTCACCGACAATGAGGTAACCTGTCACGATAAGGTGATATTGCAGTGGTGGTAAAGAGCTTGAATTGAGCTGAAGGCTGTGTGCCGGGCTAAAAGCACTAGCTACACGCTAAGTCACGTGCAGTGGCACCACGTGACTGGTGCCACGTAACATAACCCCATGGGGAACCAGAGTAGGAGTTGTACCATCGAGTCGCGTTACCATTCAGGGGTTCTGCAAGATTCTTTGCTAAGCCCGGTCAACTCGCAGCGGGCCTGTATAAAGATGGGAAAATAGTGCTTATTATGACATTTCGTCGTGTTGTAGCTCCGTAGCGGGAAATGTTAATATAGACGGGAATTGGCTCTTCCTCGAGGTTTTGCAGGAAGTCGTGAATGTGTATTCGGAGTTCCTCAGCGGTTTCGAAGTGCATGTCCTTGATTGAATTCAAGGAACAGTTTTCTTTAGCCAGGAAACATCCTTCAATGAAGACACCAAATATTTTATGGTGTCAGTGAGCGTCTCAGCATCGTAGAACGCGTTGTACCATCATCCTGGTTACTGACACCATCAACGGCCAACCTGGAGACGCGTTCAGAAACATCTGGGCGTAAGTCTATCCTAGAGTTGTGCCATCTGGGTAATGTCAATTGGGATAATGAACCGGAAGGAAAACTTACAGCTGCCTCCCCAGTAGTAAGATTACATTTCTTCTTAGCCAATCGAATCGATAATAAAATTCATGTCGGCAGCTGTTTGAGGAGTATTTATATAAGCCCCGTGTTGTCCCATAATATCATAGCACACTGTAGCCCTATTTTCTGCGTCAGTATACATTTTGCCCGCCCCAACGTGATATCCCCGTCGTTGTTTGGTTCCTTCGTTGCTCTTTGCGTTTCACTGACGAAGCAGCTGGCCCGAGGGATGGAGCCATTGATCCCACGAGGATCGAAGCTGAGAAAGTGGAAGTTTTCTCCTATAATCTTATTCAAGTCCTCTCCTGCTCTCCAGAGGTAGTTTATCCCACTTTGACAATGATTTTGAATTGAGAAGTACATATTCACGTTAATTGGCTTAACCCCAAAAGAAATACTCTACATGAGCACTGAATGTAACGTTGCCAATGAGTGAGTGTGCAATGAACAGTATGCAAGTGGTGTGTTTAAAACATACGAAGCAAAAGAAATTGAGAATCAAGCCTGACTGGAACTTGTGCTTTCTTTCAAAACCAAGCGGAAGGGAACCAAGATCACACATGCAAATTGTGCTATTCCACCACGTTCTGAAATTTCACTACACCTTCTCCAACCCCGCCTCATATTCAAACCTCTTCTCCCTGGCCCTCGCTCCTTCTTTACCCCTTAATCACCGCCCCTGATCTTTGTCCCTATCACCAAGCCCATACCCCAAACTCCACTCCCACATCTCCTTCGCCTCACCCGTCAGCACCACCTCATCCGGCCATCTGTTCCCTTTAGAATCCATGCTGTTCTTTGCCTCCGTATTTATCACAATAATTTCGGCCCCCGCATTCCGGCAACCGCCCATCCCTCCACCCCTTTCTACTATGGACCTTTCAAGACTATGTCTCTGTGAGGTTGAGGTTTGCGATCTTAAGGTTGATTGAGAAGGAAATTGTTCTGCTGGTTCTGAACTAACTGAAGGTGCTCAAGAAACTGGAATACGCGGACGTCGTCTGTGCCGTATCAAGAAGAGGATGCTGAGAATGAGGAGTAGGAGAAGGAAGATAGTGAGGCCCAATATAGAGCCGACTTTTGCCTTGAAACTGAGGTTTTGCAAATAGGCGTGAGAGGGTGCAGACTGGATTTCTGGAAAAACGGAGCTCAGTGCGAGGCTAGAAAGTTGAGAAGGTGAAAGTGTAGGGGCGGTGGTGGAGTTGAGAATTGATGGTGAAGGAGCAGATAGCGAAATTTGCAGGTGAGACGATGCTGCGTATATTGGCGCCAAAAGTGGTGATGCTGGCTGTGGAGTTGAAATAGCCGCCTGAGAATTCGTACTCGTAATTGCTGACAGTAGAAAAGAAGTAGGTAGTTCCGTTGTACCGGGTATGGAAGAACATTTCGAGGCTGGGGGTTGACCAGGATCCATGATATTAGATATGCCAAATCTGGAGTTCGTTTCAGCGAACGCCCCTACTCCTATAATATGTTCTCAGATACTTGCCTTTTGCATATGCTGATGATCTTGTTCACATTTTCTGTAGAGTTCCTTGTCAATGTCGAACAGCGGTATATGAAAGACGCCAACGTACGATCGTGTCCCGCAGCAACGCCAAACTTTCTCCCACAATTCAGATCGCAACAGTATAGCGACGAGAAAGTGGTGTGGGTAGGATGTGCTGAGATTATCCTACAGACTTGGTCGAAATCTCCGTCGCTGGGGGGAATCATGTTTCCGAATGATTGCAGACAGGTAGTGAGACATGGAGGGGGAGAGCATTCGGGTTCATCATCGGTGTCCATTGTGGGAGTCAATTATCCTCTTTTCTTTCTGTATTGACTTAGAATTGAAATTTCAGTATTGTTGGATCACTGTTTCCTGCCTCCGTATTATACGGTGCCGTAGTTGTAAAGCCACGTTCCGAATATTGACGATGATTGAACTTATAATTCTTGCGAAGAATAATAAAAGGAAATTAAATATAACGCAGCAAGCTCATTGAGCTTTCTGAAAATATTCAAAGATAGATGTATGTGAAATGGTGATAAAATGGAGCAAGATACAGTCCCACGAGGTAGGGCGTCCATGTCTATCAAGTTTGCTCTAGCCAAACTTTGAGCTCACCGTCCGAGCTAAAACCGTCGATAATCCCTACGCAAATTATGCACCTCACCGTCCTACGAGATCCCAAAAATTTGGCGAACCAATGGAAGAACGGCGGGTCTGCAGCTCGCCGCATTTCCAGACGGGTCTCGTGTTCGAAATCCAGTCCTACCCATTGCGTCTGCAGGAAGCCATTTCTTCACCGTGGTCGTCCCGATGGAGAGGTTAAGGCCAGTCTTGAAGAGAGGGGTGATTGTTGATGGGATGAGATGGATTTTGGATAAGAGGGAGGGTTGCACGAAAACGAGGCGAGGTGTCTGGGATGGGGGGGTTCTTATATGAGGAGAGAGGGCGAGGAGTTTCCGGAACGACGATCGAATTGTAAAGATCTCGGTAATCCGGGTAATGACAATATAGAGCTTGAGGTGTTTTAAATTATGAGAAAAATTTCAGGAGATTGTTCTCAGATTGAGTGATGGTTGACCGCTTGGACTGGGTTGTTTGTCTAAAGAACGCCACATCCGTCGGATGATCATTCACAGTCCAAATTGACGTATCGGGTTTGTACATTTGTACAAATGAATTGTTGATGCGAGCGTCGACCTGCTTCGGGTGCATTGTGTGCTTATTTGTCTCTGCATGGCAGACTAGGAATCGATGAGATCACACGGTTGATCCAGGCGATTGGGGGGGTCTCAAGTCTCATTATCACTTGATCACATGACACGGTCGCACTGCGATCTCAGTTATAGGCGTAGAGAATGATTTAGGGGGGGGGGGGGGGGGTTGAACGCCAGTTGCGGAAATATGATCGAGAAAAGACGTGGTAAATAATTTACAGTATCTTGGAGGAAGAAGGCAAAAACGTGGTCCGCTAAACCGGGTCGACGACTCGCTCAAGAGAGAGGGTACGTCTTGGATATCTCGCCCAAGACTAACTTTGAAGCTCCATTCAGTAATAATTGAATAACCCAGCTCAAATTCTCATGAAATCTGAGGTAAGGATTTGAGTTCGGTATGTGTAAAGTAATCAAGTCCGTAACTCCATTCGCTGCATGCCGACCCCTCCAACCCCAGTGAGTACTGAGGCCCACAGCTAGCTAGCGGACAAATCCGAGAAGCGAAAAGTGATTTTCTGATTTTCTGATTTTCCCCTCCTCCCCAAGGCAGAATTCCTAATTAGGGGTATAGCACCCATACGTGACTTTCGGCTTAGATAACGCAATAATAGTAAGGCTACTTGCTTGTCTAATTAATAAAGTGAGAGCCTATACTACCGCGTGAAATCGTACCAAAATTAGACCGGATAGTATAATATAAAATTAAGTATTTATTATAAATTACTATAGTCAGATAACTATAGGCTATAAGCCCTTCTAGGATAATACTATTAATAGGATCTAATAACTTTCTTAATATTCCCGAGATTAGAAATAAGAAAATTAAACTATTAAAATAACTAAAAAGCCGGCTAATTACTTTTTTTTAGTAATTAATTAATAAAATTATATAGAAATAATATTACTCGAGTTTTTTAGTATTTATATTACTAAAAAGTATATTATAATAGTAAAGCATACCCTGAACTTAACTTTCATTAAAATAATACTATAACTTTTAATAAATTTATTACTAAATAGGCTTATATAAATATTAATTAAGAAGAAATTATAAATAAATTAAAAGATTTATATAGAATCTTAGTTAATTTATATATGGTCTAATAGTAATTATAAGAATAGAATATCTAAATATATATTTAAATAATAGATATATCTTTTTTTTATATATAAATTATAATCCTATATTATCTAGGAGATATAAATAAGGAAATACTTAAGGATTTTGAGAATTATAGTTATATAGCTTTAATTATTAGAGTTATTTATATATATAAGAAGCTTAGTCTTATTTACTATATAACTATAATAAATAGGCAAGTAATAGACAAGTAATTATTTATAATACTATAGAGTAAGCTAAATAATAGACAGGTTATAGGTTATAGATAGTAGTATTTATATATATATTTCCGTTAATAAGATTTACTAGTAACCTGGTTAGTCTTTTTATATTTTATTATTTTATTCTAGCTTAGAAAGTTAGGGCCTTATTTACTAATATATTTTATTATTTATAGGAAGAGCTTATATATAATATAATAATTCCTGGATCTCGAGATAATTATATTATAAATATAATAGATATAGTTTAAGAAAAGAAAATATATTATACCTGGGCCGGACTAGATTTAGTTAATTAATAAATATAATAAGCTATTACTATTTGGGATTAAGATATATACTTATATTAATACTTATTTATATAATATTATTTAGGTATATATTAGAATCTCTAATTAGATTACTTATTTAGTTATATAGTAGTATTTTCAGATTTATACTTAAATAGGCTACTACCCTTATTTCTTTAGGGCTAATTAAGGCTTTAAACTTCTTCTTATTACTAAAGTATACTTTATATTCTCGCAAATAGCTAATTTATTAGTTATATATATAAAGAACTACTTTATTTCTAGGAAAAGTACCGAGAATTAGTAGGTTAAATCCTAATAATAGGAGCTTTAGAAGAGCTAGCTATACTAGTAGTATATAAGTAATTCCGTTTTCCTATATCTATTCTTTATTCTTTCTATTATTAAAAGAAAGTATTAGATACTAATAATTATATTATTTTTTATTAAGGCTATTAGGTCTAGTATTATAGTACCGGATTATATAACTAATTCTAATTAGTATATATAGAACTACTTTTAGAAACTGGCCTATACCGGGAATTATAATTACTAATATTTATAGGACTAGATTATTTTACTAGTATTTTATATATAGCGGATCCAAAACAAGATATATAAGTTTATAGACTTATAAAATATCTATAGAATTAGAAAAGATAAATCTAGGCCTAATATAATAACTAGTAAACTATTTAGACTATATATAAGGCCTCTAGGCAAGGTATAATACTAGGGTTACCCTATAGATATAAAGCTTTATAATATAATTCTTAATAATTATTTAGTTTAGGGTAAGTAATATAACCTCATATAGCTTTATATAAATAGTTTACTTATATATTAATATAAATATTAATGAGTTTCTATTAAGAGAAATACTAGAATAGTATTATTAGAAGCTTATATCTTATAATATAAATATAACTAATATTTATATAAAAGATACTAATAGAAATAGTAACTAATTATATATTTAAGCTTATTACTAGCTCTAATATATAGTCCGGGCACATATAGCCTTAGGGTAGCTACTAATATTAGAAGAGTCCGAAAAGCTAACTAGTAAATATAATATTACTATTATATAAAATAGGATTCTTAAATAAGTTATTCTAATAAATATAAAGTATATAAATAATATATAGGCCAGAAAAATACTCGTATAGTTTCTAATAATCTAAAACTTTACCTAGAAATAGCTCTTTATTAGTAATATTTCTAATAATATAAGATAATTAAATAAGCCAGTTATAAAATAACTAGATATATTAAAATAAGTATTATTTATTATTAAATATATTATTTTTAAAACTTTCTTCTTATTTTTAAAAATAGTATTAATAGAATTATTAAGTTTATTTATTATATAAATATTTTATATTCTTAAATTCTTATCTCTTAAAATAATACTATTATTTCTTAAAACCTGCCCTAATACTATATATTCTATAACTAAATACTAGTATAATAATATCTAATATTATAAGTTCTATTAATCTACTAATAATAAATATAATATAGAAGCCGCTATTTTACTTATCTAAAGTAATAATACTAGTAAACTTAAACCTTATAGCTCTGGAATTCCGTTTATATTTGCCTTTTTCTTTATATCTAAAATACTTTAGATTCCTAGCTTTTCTTAGTATTTTTATCTTATATCTTTTTTTTTAGGAATATTTACTATATTTATTTCTCTAGTTATTATTATTATATAGCTACTAGGTACTATTTCTGCTTTATTTCAGGCTTTTCCTGCTTTACCTCAGGCTTCTTTTATTCTAATAGCCTTATAATTATTTCTTTTCGTATTTTCTTTTACTATAAGCTATATTATTTAACCTAACTACTTTTCTAGTAATACTTATATTACTATATAAGCTTAACGGGCTATAAATACAAGAATTACTTAGGCTATTATCTAGGCCATAGCTTCTTATACTAGTAATAGGCTATCTAGAGCCTTTTAAGATCTCATAAATTAAAATATAGCCGGATCTAGTCTTATGGAATTATAGACTATGGTTTTATAGCTAGTTTTTTATAAGTAGATATTTAATAATATAAAGAATTAGAGAACTAAGTAAAGAACTATCTAATTTTCTAAAGAAGTTAGTAGTAAGTTTTTTCCTATTTCTTTTACTAGATTCTTTATATAAATTCTAATAGATATTTTTTAATAGGTAGCTTTTAATTTAAAATAAATAATTAAGTTTTTTTTATTCTTTTTAATATAGTTTTTTAATAGCTATTTCCTTACTTCTCTCTTTATATTAGCAGACCTATTTACTATTATTAATTTATTAATAATATAAATAAACTAGTATTCTATACTAGTCCTAATAATAAAAAAGCCCAGGAACTTATAGTCTTACTAGGTTCTATTTAAATTATCTTTAACTTTTCTTACTATAGTATATATCTGGGCTCTAAAAATATCTA